AACTTGGATCTCTTGATGCTTCATTGATAATCTAAATCTAAACTTGCAGTAATCAACGGATTCTCTCTTCGAATGCCACTATAGTAAATATGTTTCATTCGTATTGCTGTTACATTTTCAGAAATAATTTCAATTGGTATGAATTTATAAATCGTTGATACCTATTAAGTTTATGTCAGTGTCTGGTATTCAAATGAAATTTGTTGTCATTCATAGTCATGTTTTATATCTGGTTTTTATATATCCCTGAGTATATTGAACTCTTCTTGATTACGGTAATATCTGCAGCACATACAAAGAAAGACTGACTGATTGCTTGAGTCGGTGGAACAATCTTTTTCGGGAACAAAATTTGAATGCACTGTTACATTACCATTTATGAGTGATAAAAATGTAAAATTTGTGATATACTTGTAGCGCTAGATGCAGTGTTATCAAATACCATAAGGTTAGGAATAGGATTACTCAATTTGATCTCTAGAGCTGAATGTGACAACCTATTTGAATGGTAAAAATGTAGAAAGTAGGCTATTCCTTTTGAAATTATCAATAGGTTTTGATTTTAGGAATGTGTAAAATTCTCACGATGAGCTAGATCACCAACTTCGTGATGTTGCTTTTTTATACCTAGCGTATTTTTGATAGGAAGTGGTAGCCATTCACATCAGGAACAGGAAGATAGTGACGTACAATATGAAACACAATATTGTATTAGGCTAGGCTAAGTCTGGATGGTTGATGGAAGATGCAGTTAGTAAACTGTACATGTATGGTTCATGTTCATCATTGAGCTGTGTTGTGACTGGGAGTCGAATCAGGTTTAACTTGCTGCTGTTATAATTATGCTTGTTTATTTTTAATCTGAACTAAACGCAAAAATATCAAACTTTGTAATGTTTGATAGTTTTTGTTAAAATATCCTGCAGCATCAAACTAGTGAGTTCACAGTTTAGGTAGTGGTTTGTCAATTTGTATTGATTTGAATTTTCGAATTCAGCACAGATACTGACATATTGGTTTAAACTATAGTGTCATTTCTGATCCTATTGGAGGGGAGAACTGCTGTTTTGAGCCCCAATATCACAATATTTAAATTGGTGTATGAACTTCGACTGTTGGCAAAATTGCACCATATTTGAAGTTTTGATTCAGTCTTTACTTTAGATTCAATAATAGGTTATCAAACAAATCTAAGTTTTTAAAAATAGAATCCTATATGACTATTTAGGTTATATTTTCTCTTTTGGTTATATATGTATGTCAGCAACCTTGAATCTGCCTGCAACTATTATTGTCTTTTTAAGTTTGTTATTTTGCCATTTTTGGACATTGTTATAAAGATTTCAAATCTTATTAACAAAATCTTTTTATGTTATTTATATAACCTCTCTCTATGTTATTGTCTGGATTTTTATGATTTCCTTTTAATTTTTCTATCCTGACGACTCCATTAAAACAAAAAATTGTGCACTGTTTGGCGGTCCCCGGTCGGATTTCAGCGATCAGATTATCAGCGAAGTGAGGAGTTTTTTCATGAGGAAGACAGTACAGGTAGTAATGCAAACGATTTAATAATACTAATTTGTGTCCAGATATTCATTGTTTCATCTTCAAACCTGTTCCGTGCATTATATTTCAGTCTCTTCATTATGGAGAAAGTGCTTTGTCGATAACATTCTAAAGGCTAAATTCTTTAACTTTGGAAACTGCTCATTGCTCCCAATATTATCTATGTTTTAGATTATATTATTTTTTACGAGGCACAGGAGGTATCGTGGCGATATTTATTAAATTCCCTGACATACATGTAGCAATTTTTGTCTTAATGATTTAAGCTGGTTATATATAAAAGGGAGGGCCAGGGAGGGTATTAGTAGGCATAGCCAACCTGGGATAATAGAATCTCATTTGATTTTTAGTTGTCTACGAAGCTTGTTGAGATATTTTCAGCGGATATCCCAAAGGAAATAATAGAATCAATTTGTGGAAGTTTGAAGTCATTTAAGGCTGTCAAAATTTAAGAACCGACTTGAGCTAGGTAACAATATAAATGTTAGTGATGTAACACTATTTCAGAAGATCTTTTTTGGTTATTTTTATCACAAAACAATACCAAGTGCGATTTTTTGGTTACGCTATATCACTAATTGTTACCTCTACTAGCACACAGGCCACAGATAATAAGGCCTGGGATGATAATGGCCCTGGATTTGGACCGTCCTGGTTTAGTTCATGCTCTTTGGATTACTCTCATACACAATACTGTAAAAATAACATTCTCTAATTGGACAAATATTTTGAAAGCTCATCTTAAATTATGATTCATGCTTTAGGAATGGAAAATTTTAAATTATATGTTTAATAATATGACAAATTTTGCCTGACTATTATGGCTTCAATTTGAATTTGTTGTACTTAATCTGACTTGCTACAGAACAATATTAGTTAATTGTTGAGTCCTCACATGTTTATATGAATATGGTTGATAAACATAATTGAATTTTGAATTCTTGCTTCAATAAATATATCATGCATAATTACATGAATTTCAAATTTGAAAAGCCCAATTTTAGTTTGGTAAAGTTTATTGTTTGTGATCAATTGCTTTGGAATCGCGCCTAGTGTCTAGTGTTATATATTATTTTTGACAAAGAGGAATGGTGTTAATTAATACATGAAATGTTAATTAGTTGCTAAAATGCAAACTTGTCACTTCTAGAGGCATCAGATGCACGGCTGTCTGTACTGCTATGTTTCATTGCTTTTGACCTGCTATTTTTTGCATAGTGGAGGTCATTTGATTCAATTTTGAATAAATTACTGTAATAAATTTGAGAAAAGTCTGAAACTTATTGCGCCAATATAACTATTGAATGTCTCTTCAAGTAACCAAGTTTTATTGTCATAGCAATATGATGAAACTTCCTTAACCTTCTTTCTTAAAATTGAGTGGGAAATAAATTTCTGAAGATTCCATTTTTTTTGCCCAATTTTTTTTGGTGTGCAGTGATTTCGTCATATTACATAGGCAAAACAAGAACCTAATTTTTTATTTGTTACTTCCGAATAGACCAAGTAATCAGAAATTTTTTATTGGCTTCAGTAGTTATGATCAATATCATGATTTTATGATGTCATTTTTCTAGCCAAGTCTTCCCCTACTTGTATTCATGTATATTCAATCTAATGACTTATTTAAACAATCAACAATCAAGTATATGCTTCAATGAAAAATATTATAATGGTTCATGACAAGTTGAAGAAAACACCGGTAATTATCGGTATGATATTCGCAAGTGTTTTGCTATGCTATGGATAGTTATTCTGTTGCTTAATTTGTTATCATGAAATGAATGTTTCATGTTAAAAAAACAAGATGTGGGCTACGCTGATATCAAACTGTGAGTCACATTTCCCCCGCATTGCATTTAGGCTGATTTAATTGCAAAAAATCTTTTGCTGTGTTGTTAGTCAAATCAAGCATCCAATTTTTATTGAGAATACGTACAACTTAAAAAATATGCCCATTTGTACAGGATTTTATATGAGGTGTAATTAGAGGTAGTTTGCAGGTTTTTAAAAATATGACTTACCGTATATGGATGTACTATCGATAATTAAAGTTGGAGTTCTTTTGAAATCCCTGAATGTTCAACTACGGTAAGTCATCAGGATGTTCCTTGTTATTAACAACTGTGTTGAATGTTTCAAAATTCTTTATCTCCCTTGAGGATAAACACAATGTCTGTTTCTGCATCATCCTGACATGCATGGTTTCCTTGTTTTTGAGTTGTTAAATTATTGGTGTAAAGATATTGGCACTTTTGCAGCTGTTGGAGAATGTTTGACTTGTTTCTAGTATTAATTATGTTGAGCTGTTTGTCAATTCATGCTTTAGTCATGATAAGTTGATAACCATAAATTTAGCCTCGATGCTTTCCATACTTTTATTACATAATAGTGGCCAAATTGTATGTATAATTTTTCAAAAAAATACTTACAGCAATAGAGAGAGTTAAATAGGACATACTTTAAGGTTAATGTGATTTTGATGAATTATTAAGTTCAAGCAAAATACGGTGGTCCTGTGTTATGCTGCGTATTCCTAAGTTGTTGAACATTTTTCTCGTCTGAATTAATCTACTTTTTCTATTTCGAAAATATCAAACAAAATATAAGTTACAGATAGTTATCACCAATTAATATGTTCACATTTCATTCGGTAGGAAAGCAATAAATTCCCAATAAAAACTAATTTTAGAAATATTAATTATGCACATTGTCAAATCTGTCATGTTTACAACTCTAATTTGCAGTGATTGAGTATTATCAATTAGAAATGTCTACATCTACTTTATTAATCTCTGTCCATTATTGTTTTTGATGCATGTGCAACATAAATATATGAAAAAAAGGGAGTAGTACTATTGTTTGGATTCATTACTCTTTATGACTATTTTTCGAAAACATTTTGAAGGATATATTTTTATTTGATAAAAAGTAAGCAATTAGGTAAATGTTTGCAAACATAGGACATTGTTTTTCGGTATTTACTTTGTTTACCATTTTAATAGGTGATCACCAGCACTGAAATTCTTGTGGTATATCATATTGCATTATTAGGGCTCAAATATATTGAATAAAGTTAGATAGGAAGGAAGTACACAAAGGGCTGTGGTTTTGTTTAGCAAATTTGCACATTGAAATTAGTCATCTGTATCTAAATAACTCCTGTTGTTTACAATTTCTCTATGCTGTCTATGCTGTTTTTTTTATTTAATAAATACTGCACATACAGACAAAATGTTCTTATTAAGAAAGCAGTAACTTTGATAGTCTGCATTCAAAGCAACAATTTCAGATAATTATACTGTGAAATTACCGAATCAATACCGAATTTTATTCAAAATATATTGTATGGATATCTCATGTGGGAGCCGGTAATAGGCCTGGAGTTTGTGTCTTTGAGCTTTCTAACATAACAATTATTGAATATACAGTTCTGCAGATTAAAAATAATAGACTTATAAATGCAAAACTGATTTTGAAATCTTGGAAAACAAGATGGTTCTTCATCCATTGGAATTTTCTGAATGTTTTCTTGATTCTCCTTGGTTTCGTCAAAGCATAAAAGAATACGAAGATGAATTGGAAAGGACAAATTCACAAATAAAGTCTTTAATCAAGGTGAATTTTAATTCTTTTGATAGCTCTCCTTTTCTATAACTCCACTGTTGATACTTATATGTATATTAATGCACATACTATAGTGCAAAAAATTTGTTTATAAAAACAGAGTCATTTTACATTTTGTCAATTAATATTTCATATGAATAACCTAATCTCTTTTCATGGAACAGTATGTTTATTTATGAGTCTTCGTTAGACCATGATCTAACGAAAGCTCATAAATAAACTTGCTATTTCGTGGGAAGAAATTATGTTATTCATATTTATCTTTATATAATATCTTGTTCGAGCATCCTTGTGGCAACTGACACATACCGATCCGCAGTAGAAAGTAAACAAGGAGAAAGGACTTGCAGTTCAGTACACAATGCCCAAGCCTAGTACACTACATATTGGCACTTCTAATATTATATAGCAAATATTCTTCCCCCAGTTTATGTGACTACAAGTTATTAACTACCGGTAATTAAAATTTAAATAAGCTAAAATGAATCTTTTACAGGATGCGAAGGCCATGTTGCAGGCCTCACGTAAACAAGGAGAAACAATGCAGGCATTCAGTGAAAGACTGAAAAAATTTCAGTTTGAAATCATTGGAGAAAACTTGACAGATACGGAACGTGGAATTGGTGTGTTGATTATAATTCAAACAAACTAATACAATTGACTATAACTATATTCTTAAGGTGTGAATTTCTTTGCACATTATATTCGCTGGTTGATCAAATATTTGAATAAACTATTATCATACTACTAATATTGTCTCTAGTATGATTCACAGAGTTTATTATTTAAGTTCTATCACTTTAATGATACTTTATGTAGCGATTATTTTCACCAAAATTTATCAAGCACTCTTCTGCATGTGGGATGATTTCGCTTTAGTTTAAAATTTGCTTCAGTTTGAGTTCGGATCATAATTATGATAGTTGGATGGGTGAGTGTTGCAAATTGCAAAGAACGGTCATAAGTCTATACTGGGTGAATAAGTTTTAATGTACTTTTGGCCTATAGTTGAGCTAATTTTCACTTTCCATTTCAGCTGGCTCTTTGAAAGAGTTTGGAATGATGCTTGAGGAAATAGAGGAGGAATGGACGAGAACAATTGAAAGATCTGAATTACAGTTGATACAACCACTTGAAAAGTGAGCAATTTTCTTTGTATTTTACTTTCATGTGATTTGATTTTCTTCGAATAAGGCTCTGCACTATGTAAATAAGTCATTATGGACAGCTTTTCAAATTCATGCGAGGATTCATTTTCCATATCAGGAAATTTGTCTCAATTTACGAAATTGTATGTATTTGAGCTATTCACTGTCATTCTAATGATTCTATTCATAATTTTAGGAGAAACGTTTACCCACTTCGAATCTGTTTAGTGAGATCACTTCCTTTTTTCTTATTTGGGAAAGTTACAATTGTTTATTCCTGCCCCAGGTTTCGAAAGGAACATATCCATGGATATAGAGACGCCAAAAAAGGTTTTGACAAAGCTAGTGAAAGATACTATAAACAAATGGAACAGACATTGGGATTGTCTCACAAGAAAAAGGAAAATTTATTATCAGTGAGTCATTTTTAAAATTAGATATGAAAATTTTATAGTCTTATAATAAAAATTAAAAGCTCTAAAACAAATTTTCAATTTAAATTAAATTGATTCTGTCATGTTAGATTTTGTGTTGGGGTTCTCATTATATTCAAATATTTGTCGAAAATATAACAATTTTATTTAAACAGCAGCTGATATAATAAAGCAGTTCAAAGTTCAACCAGTGATAAAATATTATGTGCAAGTGCAATGGAAATGTACACAAATTTGATAGGATTGCAGTTTTAATATTGCCAGGAAGTTGTTGAACAACACCAATTATCTCATAGAGAATACAAAGCTTGACAAAAATAATAAATTAGGATGTTGTTCTTATGATTCAACTCAACAAATTTCATATTCATCTTGAATAACTATTGAAAAGCTTTGTATTGACTTGACAATATTGAATCACACTGTGTTATCATTGTATGTAAAGTATATTTTTGATGTGAGTCAATCTAAAAAACTCACTTTTATTTGTATATATCGGACTGAAGTTTAAATTTTTATTGTAGGAATCTGACAATGAACTTGGAATTCAAAAGAAAAATTTCCACTCTTCCTCTCTCAACTATGTTTATAAATTGCAAGAAGTTCAGGAACGAAAAAAATTTGAATTTGTTGAACATTTACTCATGTTCATGCAGGTAAGTGCCCTTTGCCCATTATCAGAAGTAGTCTTCACTGACATATTTTGATTTTATTTTAAGTTTTTTTCTGAATTTGTCTATTCAAGCTGATATTTAATTCGGTAACCTAAGAATTGATTCTATTTATATACAGTAGTTTTCCAGACAAGTTTATTCTGATTTCAACTTTCAGGTTTACTTCAATTTTTTTCATCAAACTCACGAAACTGCCTTCGATTGCAAGGAATATATGAATGATATTCAGGTATGTTTTACAATCTATAATATCTTGCTTGTTTTCCTATTGAAATACAGATTTTTGGCTAATACATTATAGGGGGGTGATAATGCAGTGTGTGTATCTTTGCTATTTCATACATGAAGAAAATAATCATATAATATAAATTCTTTTTGACTTGAATATTACATAATGCTTGTGTGAAACATGGGAGGCTCTTGAATTTTTATTTGTTTTATTAGAAAATACAAGTATAGTGTATGCTTTGTATGAAAGTTTTCTGGAAGTTTGATGTATCTGAATTGAACATATTATACAGGTTGCATTTGCAATATAATCACTGTTATCGAATTTGATCTTATAGTTTGTTGTGTGCCTCGGGCAAATAAGAGTAAAACTTTTTATCTTGTTTTAAAATCGTGTATATATCCAAAATTGGCCATTGGGAGTAAAATGGTAGTATGTTAAGAAACTAAGTATCTATATTTTATATGTTTGAGCATCAATGTTCAAATATTTGTACAAATTTAAAAAGTTCTGTTTCTCAAGTTTGGCTTTACCTACTTGCTAAAGGCACTGTCCAATAAATAAAGGTCTATTTATAATGGTTTACAACTTCTCTTTCAGTTTTTTCTTACATTCAAAAGCAGAATGAATTGTTGATTTACAATATTAAATAATTTGAATATTGCCTTATTGTATGGTTGTAAATAATCTCTGGGTATATTATAGATATGATTTAGGATATAGTATTATGAAACTTTAGAACATCATTTCCATGTGTGTGTGTGACTTGTTTGATTTTTATCAAATCCCTAGAACAGGGTGGTCCATGGTTGCGAGGTTTAAGGGCCGCAAGAAAACCCAAAAGTGATCTTTTGAGTAAGCAATATAAAGCCTTCAGTTATTTTAAAATTGCTTCCTGAGAATTATCGTGGTATTCTATTCTATTCTAAAAAGGACTATTCTCAGTTGGAATAGTTAAAAATCAACCAAAATTGTTCTGCTAATAAATACAAATATCTGCCAATGGTGTAGTAGTGTACGGTAAAATTGTTCTGCGGGCCGCATGGAATGTGTCGGCGGGCTGCAGTTTGGACCACCCTGCCCTAGAATATTAGTGTAATTCATGTTTTAATTTCATATATTTGATGTCTGCAAGATAAGATCCCTTATTAATTGAATTATTGCCTTTGTTTGAGAACAGTCATTTTGATTGATGTTTGTTGACGACTGACGAGAATTGGAAACATAACATTTCTTGCAATAGAATGGTATCATTTTCATATGGCATTAAATTTAATATATCTAATATTGTTATAAATGATTAGATGATGTTATTCATTAATTATCAAATGGTATCGGTAATCATTTGTAAAAATTGTTTTTCTCAGATGAGATTGGTCAGTACAAGATCACAATATGATGGAACTCGAAATAAGACTCAAAGCCTGATGAGAAAAATGATGGATAATCCTAACTCAAGCATGAAAAATGCTGGTGGAAACTCATCTCCTCACAGAGTGATTGGGCAGAGATGGGCAAGAGCTGGATATCTTTTGTTGTTGGAAAAAAATGCATTGGGATCAAGGTCAGAATTCCTTAGTGTGTGAATAGGTACTCCCGTATTATGTGTACCAGGTTGGGATTAGGCCATATTTTTGCTCGATTTTCCTTATTTTTGTTCAATTACAAGTTCGGGACTGCCGGTCTTAGCCAAGTCAATATACCCCCTGCCCATAGGTTTCAGACCTTATACACAACTTGATGTAAAATAGGCGAACAAAATTAGTTACCGCCATATTGGTACACATAATTCTGGAGCGCCTGTGAATATTTATTTGGCGTACGTGTATGCTCATTCTTTTGACGCCTATTTTCCTTTGTGAAGCTCGTTAGCTTTAGACTCTTAATTAAAGAATTCCAATTAATAACTCTCAATAACACTGAATAATAAAAAATTTGTTACTCAGGTATTGAATCATCTCAAAATAGTGGTGCCTTTTATGTACCAGTACTAACAATTCATGCTAATATAGATAAACTCTGTTTTTTCATTTGTAGTATATTTCATGTCATGATTTATGATTTAAAACTTTATATAGGCTACTCTATACACATACTTTGGTAACAAGGTGTCATAATTTGCAGGTTCCCTGGTTCTTCTAAATGGTCGCGTTACTTCTGTATGTACACAAAAGAAAACAAATTGTTTCAAATGTTACCTCCCTTCAATCAATCATCATCGTCAAGTTCAAATGCATCTACGAGATCTATCAATCACCATGGTAGTGTTGCAGTTGCAGTCGATCCACTTATTGTTTTATCTTGTGTGCGAAGAATAACTGATTCTATTGACAAAAGATTTTGTTTTGATATCGAAGTTGAGGTAAGTAAATATATTTAGCATTAGAAATGTTGCAGTCGGGTATTTTCAAATAATGAGATTGCTTTGTAGATGACAGAGCACATCAATTTCCATGAGAACTAAAAATCTTCATCAGATCTTTGAAAAACACTAATAAACACTTCTTTTAAAATCACATAGGCTAGGCTATTATGTTTTCTATCGAATTATTTTTGCTGTTGCCAAAAATATTCAAATTTGAAAAGTTTTTAAAAACGTAATATTTAACTAATATTCTCTCTTATATTTCATACAATGATTTAAAGATGTATTTATATAAATTATTTTAAATATAGGATAGCACTGGAAAACAAGCGACTTTAACATTGCAAGCAACGTCAACCAATGATAGAAAGAAATGGCTTGCTGTTATGGATGGAAGAGAACCAAACTATATAACTGCTAAGGTAACAGGCTGAGAAATTGTTGTCACTACTTTTGACTGTTTTTAAGATTCAGTATGCTTAAAGCAAGGAATATAAGTACGGTACATCTTCAAAATAGCATGCAAACTTTGTATTGCTACTTTCAAAATAATCAGCCAACATCCTCCTAGAAAGATGATGGTATATTTATGTTAATGGGAGCTGTGGTATACTATGGATAAATAGCTTAATTTCTAGTTAATATACTTTGACTCATTGTCACAATATGGCTGTTTCATGTGTTTTGTCTGAACTATCATAATAATTATGATTCCAGGAATACAAGAAACCTGAAGAATTTGACTTGAATGAAACAAGCATTAAGTTTGTCAAAGATGTCATTGAGGAAATAGAACGTCGAGGTGTCAATGCAGAAGGAATATATAGACTTGTCGGAGTCTCATCGAAAGTCGATAGACTTTTACAGATAGTCATGGATCCCCAGTCTTACGGAGAGTAGGTATCTTGAAACAATTAAAAGTGCATAAAAATAAAAATTGCACAAATACTGGGTAATACAAAATAAATTGCGGCCAAGATTGGGATTAGTGTCTAGCTGTCAAAAATATTTCTACACCAATAGTTTTCTTCTATTAGAACCTCTTCTTTATGAAATTTCTTTTCACCAATTGTTTCTTTGGCAGTGTTGGCCTTACCGCTTCAAGTGCCATATCAAGTACGGTAGCAGCTGCTGACATTTTTCCGATAATTATTTGCTTATGTTGAGAGGTCAAGAGATACTAAGAGACAAAAGAAATTATTTACCGAGATCAATTTTCAAAATAGTTGGTAGTAGAGCTGCAAATATAATTGACTCTGCTATTATTAGTAATTTGTTTTTAATTTCTTAGTCTTAATTACAAAGATGAAATTGAATGGGAATTGAATACTTTAACAAGTGCATTGAAAAGCTTTTTCCGCAATTTACCCGAGCCTATTATGACGTTCAATCTGCATGAAGAGTTTATTGCTGCAGCTAAACATGAAGATCCAGATGAACGACTGAATAGGTAAAAGGCTGAATAATTAAGGCATTTTTCACTATAGTTATGTAGGCTCAATTAAAAATTACCTTGAAGGAAAGGACTACTCACTGATGTGACTGTGGTTCTCTTCTGACATTAATTTGATCTGCAGTGTTTAAAAATTTTGAGCTCCTTGCAACTTAACATTGCTCTTTAATGACCCTTTGCATGTCCATGACATTGCTTTTTGAGAGAAATCTTACTATTAACTAAAGTTTGACATCTCATTACAGTATTTCTTATCAACTTTTACACATGCATTGTATTGTGTATTACGTGAACATTTGGTTTGCCACCTTTCCCAAAAATTTCCACGAATTGACACAACATGATTCCTGTCTGTTCTCTGTAATTATTAAAATTCAAGCATCTATTCAATAAGCCACCAATAAGCCATTGCAAGTTGAATGTGATCAGATGAGGGTCCCAGTTATAAATTCGGTACTACATACTACGGGAGTACCATAAATTTTTCATTTCAAAGCCCTGATCTTAATCAGGAAAACCTGGCGCTTCCCTAATATACATGTGGATCGGCATAACCACAACCACATGTTAGTTAGTATAGTTACTAGCAGCAAATCTTAACTCCTGTCCAATTTTTCATTTGAACAGAGTGATTAGCCTGGTTGCAAAGTTATCTTCAGACAGCCAACATATACTTGAAATGCTGATCAGACATTTGCAGAAAGTTGCTGCAAGATGGGAAGAAAGTAAAATGACAGTACAGAATATTGGAGTGTGCTTCGGTCCAACATTGATGAGACCTAAACAGGTTTGTCAACTTGTATGATCAAGCTATTGATATGAGCACCTACTGAATATAATGCCCACAATTATATTAAACCCCAATGTGTTTTTGTTTGTTATGTTTTTACATTTTTAGTGGTTATATCTTATGCAGTTATAGTATTGCATAAACATCCATCCCAAATACTGACAAGTGAATATGTGAAATTCTTCATTTCCAGCATGAGTGAGGGAGTTGCATTCATGAATTCATCCACAGATAAATCTAAGTGGAGAGTATGAAAAGCACATAAAGTGTGTAGTGTGCATGTTCACACGCCTGAGCTATTTTAAGACAGTAAACTGGGGGTAGTATTTCACGCTGTTTAAGTTTTGAGAATCCTATTCTTGTTTCAAACCAAAGTTTCCTTTCTAGATTTTTTTAGATATTCTTGACAATTTTCCAACCTTTACTGATGGGAAAACTGTTAAATCGATTATAGCCTACCTCAATAACAGAAAACTTATTTTAGGGATGTATGAAGTACTTGCAATATCAAATTTTTCTCTTCAAGTTTTGGTAAAAGACTTCTTGTTGCTGTCCCGGTGCTAAAGTCTTATTAAAAAATTAGAATTTTCGCTTTCTGTTCGCTGGTAACCTTTCTCTGATAGATTTTGCTTTCACATAAACTGGTATGCTTTCACAGTATGCTTTTAGGAAAATTTTCAAGAAATGCTGTAGTTATCCAGAAATGTGAATACACAGTATTTGGTTCCTTAGTTCACTCTGTTGCAGATGAATAAAAATAACCTATAGTCCTTAGTCAACTATTATTTAAATCAGTGGTTTTTTGACGTCCTATTGTGTCACAGATCAATTTCATATGTTGTAAATAGCATCACTAAATTGAGCACTTTTTTCACTTCGTCAAATAGCAGTGATTGTCATTAGGGTGAAGTTAATCAATTTATACTGACTGCTGGTATATTATTCCTTAGTATGTAACTACAATGATTGTTAACTGATAAATACATTATCCTACTTTGTAATTTGTATGTCCAATTCATGCACACTATGATCATAAGGCCCAAATACTGACATGAATGAATGTTGAAAGACAAACGTTGTTATCAGTTTTGAAACTTTCGAACAGTGCGATGAACTTTGCCGAAACAAGGAAACTAACAGGCACACAAATTTAAGTAAACCACATGGCCACTTGTTTCATTTTGATGTTGTACAAATGAATTGAGCATTGATGGTAAAGGTCTTTATTATCTTATTTCCAAGTACAGTATATTTTCAATGATGCATCACCTGTGCAGAAAACTTTCCCAGTGGTTTTGTGACGAATGTTTATTAGGACTATAGGTCATATCACCATGAAACAAAACATTCTGCTGATCTTTGTTTTGATAAAAATACAGACTAGCTCATTCATGAACAGTGTTACGAGCAAAAGTCAGATTCTACTGTCTGCATTATTTGCTGAATGATTACCAACTTGCTAGCCTATATCATGTCATGGGAGAAAAAGCCCATATCAATTCAAGATATACATTTACACTAATAATAAACTAAGAACCTATTGATATTTGATTGCTACCTATTTCTCAACATAACTCTACCTAATTTTTAATGTATCAGCACTCCAAGCTATTTTGTATTTCGAAACTCTATATGGCTTTTGAAACACTGTATGGCTTATGACCCTGCTCGGAATAAATTTGCACAAGAAATTAGTGTTGCTCTCTATAAGAACAGTTATGTTGAAAAATAGATCAATATTCTGTCTACATCTCGCACAGCGCAAAGCAACTATTATCTCCATACGTTACGCTTAGCATACCTGATAGATTTTAAATATGCTCCTAAATCTTTAATGTTGACAATTGTAAAGTAGATTTCAATTGTATAGAGAGACAATAGGAATGGGAAAATATCTCGTTTATCTTGTTTCAATATGTATATGTATGCATTTATTTTTATTGGTGTATCCGAATCTGTGCTTACATCAGTCTGTACATATCAATGCCATCAAAGATAAGAAGTTTTGCTGAAACTTATATTGAAAAAAAAATAAAAACTCATCTGACGTCCATTGTTCATTACCTGCATATATATATATATTTAGTTTTTTGATGAAATATTAAATGCTCATTCATTTTATCATAAACAGGAAACTGTCCAATCCATCATGGAAATCAAGTTCAATAATATCATTGTTGAAATACTGATAGAAAACTATGCTGCCATATTTGGCAGAAGTAGCAACGATCAAACAACCAAAGAAAGAAGACTAGCTAGTCCAAAGCCAACAGTGGATAGTAGGCCTTCTATGAGGTAAGGAAATGTTAAGCGTGGGTTATCATGATGATTGGCATTTTTTTTTGATGAATTTGATTTTATATATTTTTTCAGAAATTTTTAACGCTTAAGTCGACTTAGTTTTATGCTTTTTTAAAAATCGCTCGAACGAAAATCAACCACAGTTGTACATGTAGGAACATGTATTTATCGCACATTCGCGATAGTGTGTTAACCTCAGTTTTTGGTATTTTATTCTAGTTCCTCATCGCGTAGTTTCATAAAAATTGAAGCAATATTGAATATTAAACGGAAATGCTTAAGCATAAGAAGCTCCGACAGTGAGCCATTCAAACAATGATGTTTTAGGTAATGAACGTACCGGTAATGTCAGTCTGAATTATGCTTTGAAGAACTGATCCTAGAGTCAGATTTCACTACTTTATTTTGGTCTCTACTGTATGATATAATATTCAGTCAAAGTATGATGTTATCAAGTGCCACTGTCATATAAACCAACTTTGGACTGGCATAATTTATGCATTCGATGTTTTCATCAGCCATATATTCATGTACTGTTAAAAATTTGATTACTGGAGTGCAGGGAAAAGTTGAGTAGCTGTGAATATGAAAGTGGTAACAAGGAGAACGAGATTTGCAATGGAGATGTTATGTAATAGATAATAATTGAACTTAAATATAACGCTGAATGTCTTGCAGCGCTGGAGACCAGTTATACAATATATTATACATGATAGAAGTGGCAACTTGAGCGGCTGGGCAGTACAAATTGGTGAATTTGACAAGAGAGTGATACCAGGTGAACTTGGAAACCCAGTAATGGATTGATCTATTGATGAAGCAGCATTCAGAATTTTTTCATTTCACATTATTATGCTACAAGGCAGTGTTGCATGCATATTAGAGTGAATGCTCATCAGCTCATAGGCTTGTTTGGAGTAAAATGCCTGGAATAACAAAGCTGCCCAATTAAGGTCAATGTAATATTTATAACACAACTTACACAAGGCATCAATTAGTGGAGATCCATGAGGAAACATTTATTGACATAAATGAATTACATATATGATGATTGCTTGGTGAAATGTCACAGACCAGATAATGATAAAAAAATGAAAACTTTGACACATTTATATTTATATTTATTTGGTCTATATTTATATACCGTACATGCCGACAGTATAACAAAAGGACTGGTTACAGAATCAGAAAAGCAGACAAAGCCAGCATAAAGTATAAAATCTAGATGATTTGAGACAGAAAAATAGCATAGTGGGCGGTATTTCGCTTGAAAAAATGTTACAGCAATATCAGGCACAGAGATCGAGTATATTTTAACCTTGATTTGTTAACTTTGCTGTAATTCCTAATAGTGAAACGATATTATTTGAATATATTGGTAAGCATTTAAACCATTGCAGTGTTTTTCGAATTCAACGCCAATAGAACTAGCATATTTGCTATAATTGGCTTCAACCTATTGCGAAATTACACAGACTAGTTTTCAGCACTACGTCATTAGCGAACCCTACTAATTATCGGTCAATTTCTGCTGGAATGGCTCTTAAAAAATCGTGTCTTGCAAATGAAGTCCACTTTATGTAAGCGGTAAGCGGCAAAAATCCTAAATAATAATATAAACGGGTGGTGGATAGATAGACCAGTCATGATTTGTTGGAATGTGGAAGTCGAATCTTGTTTAATAAACTGTTTTTATGATTTGGATTTTTATATTTATCTCGGGGGAGAGGAAACATGGTAAGATGGCTTAATCATATGGCTTACCACGACCTCTCGTACTGTTTCCAGTTCATGCCATGTACGGTGTTAGACATTTGTTCGTTTAGATGCGCAGACTTAATGGTGGAAGAAGCGTAACGGCCCAGTGGTTACATGAACCACCATTCAACGTCATGGAGTCCAGTAATCTTCTCGCCCATAATTATTCCACAGGGAAACCCACCTAGGGTAATCAGAGGTGCAGTGGCAAACCTTACCCTAACGTTTAGCATGATATGCCAATCGCCGAGCCAAAAAAAAAGAAAGTTGTCTATGAGTACATTTATAATGGAGTAACATATCTTTCGTTCTTACTACTATCATGTTTTCCAAAAACCTTAATGATAAACCTTAAAAATGATAACATAATTATTTTCATTCTGAAGACTGGGTCGTCGACCAAGACAAAGGACTGTGGTGAAGGCGACGATTATTGATGGTGATTTATTACATCCTACATCACAGCAGGATCCAAACACCAAGTTTCAACGAGGTCATGCAATTCGAGGTGTTCCTGGTAGACCACTGAGTCCACGTTCACAAAGAAGGATTGCTGGTACTAAAGTTTCTGGTAATTTTTTTTATTAAGAATTGTGACATCGACATTATGAATACAGTTCTAGACAAGCACATACTAAAACATATAAATCTATAATGTGTGAAGGAATGATCTGCGCCCATTGCGATTTGAAAATTAAATACTTAGCATATTAAAGAATTAAATATACAATGTTGAGCTGTTGCAAAACTTAAATCGGTACAATACTTTATTATATATTTCTAACTTTCAGATAATGAAGATGGAAGTTTGTCATCATCAGACAACAACACAGATGAATTTGGAAGAATCTCACCGCTTGATCTTAATCTAGACATGGACCATTTTTCCATAAATAGATCATCTTCTCCAAGTAACTCAAATCAAACACATTTACTGAGTAATGCTTCTGAGGAAGAACGTACAACCAAAGAAGAATGGAAAATTGACAGAAAAGCACCACAAAGAACCACAAGTTCTCGGGGAGCTCAGAAGACAATGGGAAGTGTAGGATCTCACTTATTAAATGAACATTCTAATAAAAATCCAACGTATAATTATAATCAAAACAATGCCAACCGTTCCAATTCCGCCTTGCCTGACTCAACATCTGTACAAAAAAGAAAACAACAGCTTCTCATTCAAACTGTTAGGAAAATGCATCCACCACCCATTGCCCCGAAAAATGTTGTTTTACGAAGACCCCCTCCAATTCAAGTATGATATTTTTTGTTTTATCAATTAATTTTTACGTTGGAATGTTATGCCAGGTGCTGTTGCATGAGTGCAATTTTAATTGATATTGAGAAATGATTTTGTTTTGGATACAATAGTTTCATTTGTTATGCAGATATCATAGGATTGATAGTGCAAAATACAATACAGCTGAATTTAACCGATAGCCCTGGCTATAATGGATTATGGCAATATATTGGAATATAGACGAAAGAGAATATTTCAACTCCTGTTTTGAATAGTCAATAATTGGCCTTAAAAATATATCATAAACGGTTGTTTTGAAAAATTTCTACTCACTAGCAACATGGTGAGCTAAAAAAACAGAACCCAGAACTACGGAAATGAAGAAAGTTTATTTAACTCTTGATTTGAACTTCTCTTTGTGTATTATTTGTACCCAAAAGTTTACTAATCTAGGATGCTTTTCAAAATAGTTATGTTCTCTCCAGAACTGCGATGATGTGTTTTCGTGATATTGGTATTTCTTGTTTTCATGTACAGGGAAGAGGAAACCTGAAATGGCAGGTCGAGAAATAATTTCCCTCAGTAAGACTTCAGTAACTTCATTTCATTTGACCTCATCCATTTTATGTTTTTTGTTTGAAGTTGCTTTTTTTGCCAATCTTTGCAATTTCCCATATTATGTTATTTTTTAAAATTATTTTGCACATCTTTAAATAAGTTCAAATTTTTGATTTATTATTCATCATTTTTATATTTTTTTTTATATCAACCAAACTGTAAATAATGAAATCTTATGATTTTTAGCTTATGTTGTGTGTGTGTAGATATCACATGATGATGCTGTGTACTTTGTAGTATTGAGTGTCGCTGCATCCCAGTTGCCTGTGGAAGTGGTTATTCCTCTTTTTAAATTCTAGTAGGGATCACAAAACAAGTCTTCTGGTTTAATTGTTTGTCTTATATATTTCTCATAGTTATTTTTAAGATTGGTGCAGAACCTAATTGAAGAAAGTAAACTATTTGAAAGTTGACTTTTATTTTCTGCCAACTCTACAGCATTGAACACTCTTTATTGTAAACATAGGCCAATATGTTGCCAGAGATAACCATAGATAAATATGCTAATATGCGAAGTCAAAAATTATTATTTATATTTTAATTTCTAATTCATCATTACAGGGAAGTCATTCTGTCGACCATGAGAAGAATCACAATAATGTTAGTCAGCGGCCATCTTCTATAGACTTCGAAAAATTGTTGGAAAAATTTTCATCTCCTAATGATAAAAAGACAGTTACAGCCAGTAATGCTATTTCCTCAAAACCAGACTCAGCTGATGATCGTGATATGTCCTTCTTATGGCCAAAACCCGGCAGCCTTAAGAGCAACAGCTACGTGGAAGCTTCCATGCAGTCAGAGTCGAGGCCTCGCTCCACTGTTGTTTCTTCAAGAGATGAACTGATAAAGACATCAAACGCAAGCAGTCCCACCTCGCCTTCTAATTCAGGAATTTCGAAGGTTGATATACCTGCGTCACCCACTGCTGTCCCCAAAAGACCACGAACTTTCATTACCTTATATGCTTGTGAAGCGGAGCATGAGAGCGAATTATCATTTGTACCTGATCAGGTACTTTACGATGTTAAGGAATCGGATGAGCCCGGCTGGTTGATTGGTACTTTAGATGGAGTCAAAGGACTAATACCGGAAAATTATGTTCGTGAGAGAATAGTTTTGTAAGGGATTCAGCTAAAACTGTACAAATAAATATATGCTAAATCAAGTGCTTTATACAATTTTCAGAAATTCAGACAATCCAAATTTCAATAATCATAAAAAATATACCTTTATTCCATATTTGCCTTTTTAGGTTAAAGTGCCTTAGTCAAGCCAAATGTTTTTGTTTGAAATGTTTTATTAATTCAATATAAGCCATTTTTGTAAATTTTATTGATTAGTTGCATTCTTTACCTGGAATAGAATAGTCTCAATGTCAGCAATATTGACTTTGTTCCATTTAAGATATTTTTATCAAATTGATCTATGTATCACATTGAAATTAGTAGATAACGCAGGCTTTTTCAATCTGCATCTCAAATTTTACATAAAAACAGGTTGAACTTGCAAAGATTTTCATGGGTTAACAAAGATGCAAGTTTATTTCAAAAAATTTTCTTCTGTTTTTTATGGCAAACTTGCTACTAATTTTTAGATATACCTGTTCACATGACAGTTGTTGTAACATTCAAATCACGATTGCTTCGAATTTCTTTAACGTTTATTAGTTCGAAGTCTCTTGATTCAAGCAAAGCCACCAATTTTACATCAAACTCAGCCCTTTCTGTTTGAAGATTATTAACCTGTTCAAAACTATATTACACATAAGCCATCCAGTGTCAAGAACAGTTTTCGCTGTATCTTACAGAAACTATATTTAGAAGTTTGAATTTTTTATCATTGGCAGAGCACCATGTTTTCTTTACAATTTCTTCACTTTTATATGCTAAATTGATATATTATATTTGTTACTGTCTCTTATGATTGCAATCTGACCATTTCAGGTTTACGCAGTGTTACTGAGTGTAATAGAATGCAGTTTGATGATGGTTGAGAAAAATAAAGTGTAATGTTTGCTTTTATTCTAGTTTTCTCTTTATTTGGTTTCAAGATAAGTTCGACTTTTATGTACTGTTATCTACCGTACTTCTGTCTGAGGGATTCCAATGTTGCTTGCATCTCACGGACCTGTGATACTGAATGAAGGAACTTTTGGTTATTTTTTTTTTCTGTATTGAACTAAGTTACTTTCATCAATATTTTTGAACAAATACCTTTAATTTGAAATATTCGATGTTTTCTGACGTCATAATTTCTTCTGTAGTCTACTTGAAAATTTACTCAAAACCAAAAGCGGTGTCTAATTATATTTTCAATTAATCTAAAATTGCATCCTTTTATAAAGAGTGCATTTGTAAACTTAAGCGTTAAACAGAAAAAGTACTTGTTTATATGCAGTCTCAATTTTCTAATCATATTTGTATGATATAATTGTTTCTTATATTTTATCAACATTAGTCATTAAAACCTTACTAATCAATTCCATATATACTTGTATGTCATTATTTTTACTGACTTTGTAATATTTTTAAATGTACGAATATCGCCATAGGGTGAAAAATGGGAAAAGCATTAAAATGGGGAATTTGTCGGTTCATTATCTAATATAACTCCTTTCCAATCTTCGTTTGTTAGTGTTGTTCTGGCATCCCATACTTCTGCTGTTAATTAACCGAGTTTCAGAATTTACCCTACAGCTGACAGTCAGCCGAGTAATGGTAAGGTTGCACGTTTCATTGTAACTTTTCCGGAGACCCAACTTTATAGCAGTAAGAGCCGCTTGCAAAATTTGCTTCTAGTAGCTCATAACTACGTCTATTTGTATCATTATTATGCTTCCATGTTTTATACTTTTTATTTTTCTATATATTCAGGATTCTATCTGATTAGATTCATGTTATAAAAAACGATCATACTAAAAATAAAATTACGTGATTGAAGTATTTACTTTCTCTTACATCAGGGTTGTGCAGCCTGTGGAGAAGTGCCAATTTTGAATGGTGTGCGGCCCGCGAAACGAGTGTTTAATTTAGCTTAGTCTGATTCGTATGAGCTATTTAAATCCCTTTGTGTTGCAAAGCCAATGGCTATGGCGTTACAATGGCTTAACAGCGAAGCGAACAACGCGATTCACAAAGCTGTCACTTGCTGAGCAGTGAGCAATTTAGGCAAAGTGCAGACGCTAATAAATGAGTAAAAACAGATGATTGAAGGTTAGGCAATCAGAAAGCAGTTTGGAGAGTTTTACCGTTAGGAGATAGCCTACAGAAGCTGAATGAGTTTTGGTCCCAGCATATCAGTTGATTTTGTCTAAATCTAATCAAGAATAAGACAGATTTGACAGCAAAGTATTTGGAAATGAATCTTGTCAATTTTTACCGAAAACATCTCAACCAAGATAACTTTCCACATTTGTAAAAAGTTTCAAATATGGCACTTTTTAGCTCAACATATTTGTGTGAAAATTTGTTTTTTAAAACTGGCGTCATGAAATCTCCCTATCGATTGGTTCTGACAGGCGATTACTGGGAAAATGGACTTCGAATTACTAGCACTTCCATTCAAGCGAATTCGGAAAAAGTAATCGGAAAAGAAGCCGGCAGCAAATTTCTGACTAAATTTCTTCTTAAGTCGGTATGATAATGAATTTGAATAGCAGGTTTCTTCAGAAATTTAGGCGTCTTAATTCATCCTTTCTGCAAGGACTCCCAATAATGACATGAGATCAATAACAAAAAGAAACTGTTTTTTTGTGCCTGAAACTACAGGAAATCATGTGTTAAATTGCGGCCCGCTATTTCACTCAGTTATTTGTATCTGGCCCTCATGTAATAAAGGTCGCACACCCTTGTCTTACATGATTAAGTACTGTATAACTTTCCCAACCTGCGAAATGTCTGTTGCTAGTACTCTGGGACTGATAGCACAAACCATAATTAGGTTAAACTGTAAAATGGAGGCTTCATTGGCCAACGGTGCGAATTGTCGTGGTATTGTTCTTCTTGATACCGTTTCAACTTATTTCGGAATATTGTTCGTTATAACAACCCCGGAATTAGTTGTGCCACATTTCATCGTCGATAAGTTATTTGCGAGTCTGAACAATGTTTCGCACCAACCATTAGTAACAATAAGTTACGCAAGTCAAAAACGGCGAAGGGGGCACCAGCCCGAGGTGGCAGAATTTATATTGTTTGTTTGTCTGATGGTGGATAGCGCCACAAAATTTTGGAGTCGATTCATTTACACAACAACATTCCGAGTCCTGAATTGGGATTGATATGCTCCGTACCGAAACTGGTGCAACACGAATTCGTTTGTGTGTATTCTCTTTAGTAAAGTTAAACCGATCTGATTTGTGGTACTTTCCCAGCTCCGTTAAATGCAAGCAAAATAAGTCCGATTTAGGACAACTCCAGGTAAATACTATACATACACGGACGCAAGTTTAATTTGTTGATTTATCGTGTTGGATTTTCAGAGCGTGTTCTTGTGTCTATATAGTATAGAAAAAGAATAGAAGATTAAGCGTTTCCTCAATTATTAAAATACTTATCTGGATGCGAATATCGATATTAATGATGTAATAACAGTCTATGTCTATATGTTAACAACAACTGGTAACTTTCAATAAACGTTAAGCAAAGCTAGCATTGAACAAAGCTGCAAATTTAGTGAAGTAATACCCTCTGATGTAATGAAATATGTACCGACGGGAAGTTAAGCAGAAGGTGATTGCTGCGGGAGGTTTAGTCTTTAGCACTGCCAAACATCGCATTAGGTTTATAGTTATGAATTGCGATCCTGCGTTGCAAAAGGAAATTTTTGTTGCGCGGAAAAAAACCAATTTACTATCGACACTTTCTTAAGAAGTCTTGAAGAAAATGATATTACATACTGTGGACTTTTTACGAGTGGCAACGGTAAAATGTCATGAAGTTGTTCCCTGTAGTTATTTTGACCAGATATTTGGAATAGCGTTTTACGGTACAAAAACTGATCGATTCAAAAAACAATCTCAGTGAAACTTCCGAAACTATTGCTGGATATAATTCGCCTTGTACAAATCACTGATATAGTCACCAAAATGATTAAAAGCAGCATCGGCGAAATTTCGCTTCGATGCGTTCATTCTAAAGAGGTTATGAAGGACTTTATTCCTTCAATTTCCTCGACATTGTCACAACAATAATCTTCATCAGTCGCACTTGTTTGACTTCGAGCTACAACTCATATGTACCTCAAATTAAGGTACCAAGGTCAAACACACACTGTAAAAAACGACTATTAAAACTGCCTTGCTCTGTTCCAGAGCGCAATCTCTGACACGGCTTAGCAACTCCCGCAATCCTATAAATTTGAGTTATTTTGAAAAATCAAAAGTAGTTCAAATTAAGCGGCACTCTGTCGTGCAGAGGTCACTGGCAAAGTGTGCGGTCGAGATTCCTATTCAAAACTTGCACTTGGTTGATGGTAACCGGCCTCTTACAGTATTTATATTAATTGACCAATCCGATCATTGTGTTTAGACAGTGTTTCCCAACCCGAGTCCGCGGTCTCAAATGAGTCCGCGGAGCGTTTGAATGAGTCCGCAACGAGTCAGAAATTCAGCCACTTTGCGATTTACGTTAGAATTTACACAAAACATAAAAAGCAAGTTTAGTAACATAACATTAATCGAGTCAATAATTACTGGTTACTGAGTATATCTGGGCATATATTCGAACATTCAACTATTAGGATAGCAATTTACTATTCGAAAATTTGGTAACAGTTGACGCGATAGGGCACTTGCGCTTAATCAGACGATTGGATTTCACGGTGACCGTGCATTTAAACCCATGTGTATATCCGCGGGTTCAATCTATATGCGGTTGCTAAAACCCATGGGTTAGGGTTAAATACCTAATAAAAGTGGTGTTTCTCGCGAGTTCTCACAACGAGAAACAATTTTTTTTCCTGGTCGGTGTCAATGGTGGCAACCCAAATTTTCTAAATTGAAAAGCGGCAATACAAAATACTGAAAATAAAACGAAGAACACCATAAGATTTGTTTTATGATGGTCCGAAACCGATTAAAAACGCTTTTTCGACTTTGCAAAACGAAAAATTTTGGATGCTACCGTACCAGGGCATTTTCCCTTAGGATTCTTTGCTTTACTTTCTCCACATTGGTACGTGCAGTACTGCCGTAGGTGTTGTACAAACAGCTCAGATTTGACAAATTCACAAAAATACGAATCAAAACAAAATATAATCGGGCACTTTACCACGCAGTTTAGTGTTCACGGATTGTCATCATATTTTCTGAGTAGTATTGCTTTCATTCCGTCAACACAGCCGCAGATTTAAATGATCCCAATAAAATTAATAATACACCATGGCGATGAATATTCATTTTTGATTTACTAATATAATTTAAATATATTTTTAATAAGTACTAAATCACTTTCCAAATTACTTTCTAAAAATTTATAGCAGATAGTAGGATTTTTCTAACGGTTATATGTATTATAACAAATTCGAAAGATCGCAAAAAATATGTATCAAAACTAAGTATATATAATCGGGCAATATATTCTCACATTAGTATGTTCACAGATTGCCATTGAATTTTTTGTATTTTAGAGAAGTAATGCTTTCATCTTGTCGTAATTCGACGCAACCGCGAATTATCATGAACACAATTAAGTTAAAATAGGAATACATCTTAATTTCTCGTCGTTGTCATGGATTGAATATTGTGCGACAGAAAAGGTGATTGTTGAAATTCGTTAAAATTCTGTTGGTTCGGTTTTATTGCCTGTTCACACGCAGTATACGGTTGCAATAAACGCACCTTGAGTCCGCAAAGGGTTTCGCCGGTGAGAAATTAGTCCGCGACCAAAAAAGGTTGGGAAACGCTGTGTTTAGAAGTAGTCGTCTTGCTTCAGGATGAGCCAGGTAAGAATGGCAGCGTTGGCCTAGGAAGGAAAGCCACAGATTGAGCTGTATCGGCATCGCAGGTTACAACTATAGAAAGTTTTCGGTCATTCACACAATAGTAGTTCCCTACATATCAGGAATGCTATACCGGGCCTTGTTCCGGGCGAGAGGCGTTAAGATGAATGCCATATTGCAGTACAAATACATTTTGGCGTTTACAATAAATTGTTTTATAGATGAGAGAATTTACTGTAACAAAATTCATTGGGGAATTTCGCGAGTCATTTCGTCCAGGCGTAAATAATTTTTTTATGCGCGTAACACTCGAAACGCGCTTTTAGCGAAGTCCTTGATCGGCCCACACTCATTCACAGCTTACTTAGACGCCGTGCGAGCCGAGAGTTTCGGAAGGGTATAATTATTCTTGTCTACAGTCAGACATCCCTTCTTTTATTACAACGGTCTTCGGATACTTCTTTAAAATAATACGCCGCACTTGAGCATAGGTGTTAATCGTGTTAATTACAGCGTTTAATCTTCACGACGAAACCTTATCCGAATGAGAATAATTATCCGACGGTATAGGCTTCAATCAAAGTTAAGTATAGCGTTCAGTTCCGACGCTTCTCAAATGAAAAAAAAATATTGTATATATTGTAATTAGCTGGAATTACAGCGCTTGGTATCATGTATGCCATAAACACACTGAAGTGGGAATTAAAAAAAACAGAATATCCAGAAGTCAAGCATATTTCTTTGTTTTGCATGCAGTTGGAGGGAAATAGGTAAAATGAAAACTAGGCTCGCAAATATTGGTTTGTTGCAGAAATCCAACAAAGCTCGCAAATTTACAATGTGAAATTAGTATAAGTGTTATCATGCGATCAAATCAGTGGCAGGTGGCAGATTAGATGCATTATTTGGCTAATATGTGTTTTTTTAAACACTCTTGAAGTTCACCAAGAGAATATACCGATTCCTATCAAAATCTTTATTCACACAGCACGTAAATCGAATATTATCGTATACAACGACATTCCATAGTATTAGATACTACTTCTCAAACAAAGCTAAAATTTGATAAAGTTTGTCAATTTTCTCTGCTTGAAAATGAGCAATTTTGGACTCGACTCTTATACGCTGTTTTATTATTTATTACGATGTTATCTTACCGGCATTTTGAAATATGACACATGTATGGCGTTAAACATTTAACGACGCCGAATGAGGAGCAATATTCTCTTTCTAAGAAATGATATCCAGCATTTTTAGAACAACGGCGAACAAAAGCAATAATACAGAACACATAAAAGTTGTCCTGATAAATATGTCTGACTAACTGGTAATTATAAACACAATTGAGCAACAAAACATCTATTCTGCTTTAAAACGTTTTACGGCTCTGTTCCGCGTGCTTGGAAGAATAATTAATGAACTCTGGCATTTTGATAATTGCGAAGCATTACCTTCTAATCCCTTTTATGAAAACTGACGATTGATAACCTCGCGACGGCAGATATATTGCAAGCAATAAAGTTTTGACACGACGTCACATTGCTGCGAACATCTTAAATAAACAACTTTGGCTGGCCGTGAGAATACCGGTGTCGCTTTTGAATGTTTTTATTGTTATGGATGCCAGGTTGTATGTCAAGGTTCGTTCTGCAATTTGAGTTAATAACAATGCTACAAATCACTACAATATTGAGGTTTCTAAGGCGCACACAAACAGTATAAACAGAAAAAATGAATTTCGGAAAACTAGCTTACTCTGCGAGAGAGTGAGAATTCGCATCCGCGCGTTAATTCGAATGTCAGTCCGGAAGAGTTGTTGATACCGGCACTAGCACTGAGATGGCTTTAGGGATGAAAGTATTAAATGTTTACGATGATAAGATGATTAGTTTGAGATATCTTTGGAAGAAACGCGAAAGTTAGAAAAAGATCAGATCTGAATCTCAAAGAATTTCTTTACATTTTGTGTGACGAAAAAAGCAAATTTTCAGATATTTGCATTGTATATTTTCTAAATACGACGTAATATAGCCTTTTATTGTTGTATTGCAGCTGTGTATTTTTGTACCTGAAACATCTTAACTTAACCAGAATAGAAATAATACAGTACACAGAATTATTTATAGACTCAGACTGCTCCCATGATAAATGTAAGCCAATCCAATTTAAGGATAGCTTCCCAACTATGGATATATTATGAAAAGTGAACTTTATTCACTAAAATGTTAATATCTGAAATCTGAAACGAAATATGTAATCGCAAGTGTCACTCACACGAAATTGTGTTCAGTAATAGTCGTCTGTGTTACTGTAAAATGCCGCTGATATTTGTAAACTTATGTTTTCTTGAAATCGGACAATTTCCCTAGAGAACTGTTTCAATCGACTATTGACGTCACATAAAATGAGCAATGGTCTGGAAAAGGAGATAAATGCTGAGATGTTTCAGGAAATTGAATTTTCTCAAAATTTGTTTTTTTATTCATTCTTGATAATTGTTTGTGGAAAAAATGTTGTTGCAGATATTATGGAGCCAAATATAGAAACCACAGCTATTGGTTTGACTGTTACAGGCGATATTGCATTTGGGATATTACCTTCTGCAGCAGAAGATCCTGAATCTGTTTTCCCATCTCGAGACATTGGTAGTTTTGGCGACAGCCCTGCGTACGAAATGCCACCATTTGACTTAAGCCCATTTGGGAATGAATCGGAATACAATGCTTTCAATCCGTTTGGAGATATAACCTCAGTGGAAGATGGGCCAACATTGAACTGCTCAGAACAATTGAAATTTTATAACGAAATAAAGACATATTTTTCACCGAGTCAAATTATTGTGCCAATCATTTATTGCGTTATTTGTCTTGTTGGATTGATCGGGAACGGGCTGGTATGTTATTTTTATACATACTTTGATTAATTGTTTCATGCTAAGCAAAATATACAAGTGCAGCACAAGGTTACTAAAACTGTTAGTTGACAACCCATCAATTATTGTTTAATGCTCAGTAATCGGTAATTTCCAGTTAAAATAATATCATATTACACCCATGGAACCAACGTGACCACTTGTGACTTTAAAAATAGTGAAAGTTCTACATTAGGCATCTACAACGGTATTCTATAAATTCCCTCATTTTTTATTTCAGGTTATGTTCGTCATTATCGGAAGTAAGGAAATGACCAAATCTGTTGCAAATATTTATATTTTAAACCTTGCCATAGCCGACACTTTGTTTTTGGTAACGCTTCCATTCAGCTCAACACAGCGTGTATTGTTGTCTTGGCCTTTCGGTGTGGGAATGTGTAAGGTAATTTAAGATTGGGTTTAAGATTTCTCGGATAAAATCATGTTTTTTGTGGTAGACGTAATTTGGGAAAATCAGGACGGTAATGTGATACTATTTTTATTTCAAATCCAGATTGTCGAAGCAATCAAATATCTCAACTATTTTGCCAGTATATTCTTCTTGACAGCCATGTCGCTGGATCGATATTTTGCTGTTGTTTACGTCGTCACATCAAGCCGATACAGAACAAATAGGAATACATTTTTTGTAAGTTAAGATACAAAACTTCTTAAGTTAGTTTAACAGATTTTCAAATCAATTATCTTATTTTAAACGCTCGCTTGGCACCAATCCTATTTTTGACCCAAAATTATAAAGGGTAAGATGTTATTGTTATCTTAAATGATCAAACGATATTTTTCAAAATACCGACAAATGGGAATAAGATGGTAATTACGGTGTATGATGTTTCCAAACGTTATAACGTAAAACGAACCAAGATGTATTACTTCGCGGTACATTGAACATTTATGTCGGTATGTATCAATATGCACAATTTTATTTTTTTTTTCATTAGGTATGTTTGCTGGTTTGGCTTCTGTCATTTGTAATGGTGATTCCATTGCTTATTTACACAAAGTTACACGGACGTAAGTTATTCTGCAATTGTTTTTATTTCATTAGTTAGAAGATAATTAGTTCGGTATCACAAAGGTGTGAAGCAACATGTGAAGTGAAACAGGAAAACACAAATGCTAGTTTATAAGTAGGCAGATCCTTAAGTTCTTGGCTAGAACTGCAAATATAAGATAGCACTGTAACTTTTTTCATTTTCAAATAAGCAGTGTATACGACGTCATCCGATATAGACAGTCGGCGTTTCGGGATGCGCTTTAATCATTATTTTGTTAAACATGACCGAAATATGTTTATAAATAGGAATTATCCGTTTGAAGGGAGATACCTATGATCTATTTCGCCAATTTAACGATTACCAACGCTTTTAGTGAGATAAATCCCCAAATCGGACACCCTATAAGTACATGCCTTGGAGCATTACAACTTTCCGTTGCAATTAAGGTGTTTAGGGTAACCTAATCCCACTTTAAATGAATATTTCCCAGCACCTATTAATTCAATTGACTGTTTGGATATGTAAATATATTTCCTGAAATGATACAATGTTTCGTATAAATTACTGTACGTACGAATCCGTCATTGTACGAAAAATTTGATTACTTTATTAACAACACAACATCAAAGGCAGAAATAATGTCTTTTGTCATCTAATTTGGTTTCTATGTAATTGACGACCATTACCCGCGTAGTAGAATTTACATTGCATTCCTGTCATGTGCCATTTTCAGTGAAATATATTTCACGAACTCGAGGCGAACAACTTTTCGAAGTTACTCCTTCTCGGCCGTTTGCTATCGAGATTGGTAAAATTAATTCCTGGCAATTCTGTTCATATTATTACTTTTATTTTTGATTCAGAAATGTGTGCTCTTGTTTTCAACACGAACGATTTCTCAGAATCTGACGTTGTATCTGAAGATTATATTGAATACGAAGATGGAGAATTGTGTCCTGGATATTATTCACCTGACTATATTACTGGTTATCCAACAAGACACTCTGAAGGTCAGCGCAGCTTCGATATTTTTTCTGCAAAAAATAGTGTAGAAAATTTGTCGTGTGCGCAGTCATAACATAAAGTCTAAAAGACGAAGAATACCTCGCAAAATTAATGTTTTGTCGTATAAATTCATAGCTGTGTAAATGTTTAAAACAGCCAAAGTAATCCACTTAATTTTGATTGTCAACGACTGTTAAGACTAAATCTAGCATTAAACGCTTCATTTTCAGCAATTATATAATTTAGTTATTATTTAGCGTCTGATATGTGCTTTATTAGAGAACCATATTCGTATAATTTATATGTTGAATTTTATAGTAGAGTCAAAATTTTGTTCCCATCATGTTTTTTTTCAGTACCAAATGAGTTCCTTTGATATCAGAATGCTTTTGGTACTCCGAACATTTGTTTTATGATTATAAAATGTTCGGCATTGGCTAGTATATAAACCGTTTTAAAAAGATTGTCATTTTCCATGCGTTGGTCGTACTAACCCGGCAATTTACGCGCTAGAGCTGACATAGATTAGTAGTTGTCGAAACGTCGGGGTGATGTCATCTCATTCATCTTTGCAAGGATTAGAAACTTGTATTTACCCCAAACGCCAACAACTTCTTGGTGTGGTCATGAGTAGCACTGGGAAGAATCTATGATTTTTTGAAATTATCTGTGTTTTCTATGATTTGGATTTGACATTTTATGTTTGCGGAAAATTCAATTCTGTGACATTTACCTCCTATTGCCTTGTATATATTGTCTTTTTTATCCCAAGTAATTCTCATCATTTTACCAGGCGTTTCTTCCGGAGATCGAGATTACCTAGACATGTCGTCTTACATCAATGGATCAGCAGACAATAATTTTCTGATGTGCAAGCATCCCAACTCTCCCACATTCCATATTTTCATTGTATTTACTTTCGTAATTGGATTCATAGTACCATTCACTGTCATAACGCTTTGTTATGCCATGATCGTCGTGAGATTACTACAACCTTCGGAGACAAGAAGCCGTTCTAGACAGGTGAGACCAGATATCGTAAAAATTAAAGGTCCATTAACTTTACACGTCGCCGTTACTCGCACAATCAAGATTAAAATCATTCTTATCAATTTGAGATAGTGTCCTTATTCAGACCGTGAATTGGTCTGCATCAAAACTGGAAATATGAAATAATATGCTGTCTGATCAACATTCTATCACAAGTATATATCAATTGATCTATTTGGAAGGAATTTCCCATGCTTACAATTTTTTTCCACACAGTCCTCAAACTATTAGGTGATTTGTTTTGTCAAAATTTATCGTGATGTAACATTACGTATCACCCTGACCCCCTTAATGTTTTTGACATGCCATAAGAATAATTACGTTGTTACAAAAAAATTCATATACATGTAACTCAAAAAAGATCAGATTTTGAGATTAATGAGCACAATCTTCGCTAGCCTCGTTATTAGGCAGGTTCATTACAAACCAACAGTTGGGAAAAAATATGAAAAGCACCGTTTTTTTATTACATTAAAAATTGCGCTTCCGCTGAAAATAATTATTATAATTACAAGTTCAATTATATGATACTGATGACTCTGGAATTTAACGCTTTTCCACAAAAAGCGTACTTTACAAATTATACTTGGGTAGGCAGTCAGATTTAAAAAAGAAACAGCCACAAAATTTGTTTGCAAGAAATTTATAAAAATTTGCAAAAGAGTTATTTACTAAATAACATGTATTCACGCATATGTTATTAACGACATCGGAAAAAACATTTCGATTAAGTGCAAGTTTTCTCACGGACAAGATAAACTTGTTGGCAAACAGCTTGCGTGTGATTTCTACATTGCGCGTGAATCAATACCTTTTGTTTATTTTGTAAATTGACTTTCGCACCTTTTGTAATGAATACACATATCTGAGTGAGCTGATGTATATGTATTGAATTGACACTTAAAACAACATGACGTTGTTAAAAAGATTGATTTCACTGGCCAAATAGAAACATTTTTGGACTTTTACAATAGTTAAGCCAATTCGAAATGCAGTTCAACTTGCACATGAATTATTATGATAGGCGGAGAAGAGGAATTTTCTTGCTATGGTCTAGATTCTAGAACAGTGGTTTCAAAACTGGGGGTAATTACCCACAAAGGGGTAATTTGGCAATTTTTAGGTTGTAATCCAGAAGTTCACTGTTTTAACAATTTTTTTTTATAATCCTCGTACTTTTGACTAGTCTGTGCGGAAAAGTTGGAAATGCCATGCTCACATCTTGTCAGTGAGTCTAATCATCTAGTAATGTACTTCATATGGACATAATAACATAACTTTGTCGTACAGATTATCGCAGGCTAAAATGCTGGTCTAGCGCAAGTTGGCATATCAAAGTCTGGAAGGGGTGATTGAGCTTTTGGCGATCCGATTTAGGGGTAGCAATTTTAAAAAGTTTGGGAACCACTGGTCTCTAGAAGTAGAACTATAGGAAATCATGACTAACAAGCAAATGCATCATAATTTTGTTTACGTCGTATATAGCGAGGAAAGCTTGTTAACAAGGTTGAGTAAATAAACATGTATGTCCCTAGGGTCAGCGTCCAGTAATTACCAAGAAAAGTTTCAAATTTCAACAAGAGTGATTTCAGAAATTGGTTTAATCTGATTAATCATAAATGTCAACTACTTCACTGAGTCACTCAGTATAATGTGCCAAAAAAGATTTGGTTTTCTCAAAAACAAAATTCCAAAACGTTCGATAAAAGTCACTTGCTCAACAAAAACGATTACTATCAAAGTATTTCAATTTCGATAAACATAATATAACTATATGGTTAAATTGATGATAGCCTTCATGTCGCTTTCAAGATTTACACAAAACAAGCAAACGTTGGTTCCTCTCGCTAACGAATAGATCCAACCAATTATTTCTTACATTGCATAAATCAGCTTTAACCCGTAATATATTAAATATGATTACTTTGAGCTGCTAGTGTTGGATATAATGAGTGAATGATCTTCTATTACATAAAGTTTTAGAACAGTTTCAATTTATTTTCTAGGTAGTAATAAAAATACCAACCAGGACTGGAATTAGGTATAATTAATCTAATTTCCCCATTTTTAATAATGTTTTTCTACTGATCGAGACAAATTATGTAGGAGTTTCTCGCGTAATTGTATCGTTTATCCAATTTAGTGCGCCAGGCATTCGTACAATTTTACTTCAGAATTTGTTTTCCAATTAAAAAAATTAGTTATTTGAACATGGGTGCTACAATTTATTTGTATATATCATTCAAAAGAATCAACTTGGAGATGCAAAAAAGTATTGTTGGTATTACAAAGACAAAAGTCGCTTGGGCATACTAATGTTGGATCACATTGCAAACTTCAGAATAAATCCGATGATCTAGGGCCTCCATATTATTGTTTACTTATTAGGTTTTCGGTTCGGGGACTTGAAATAAATAATATAAATTCTGTTTAATAACCCAGGCTGAGAGGACACGCAGGAAGGTCACAAGAATGGTGGTTGCTTTAGTCGTTGTATTTTTCGTTTGCTGGCTTCCGTTCTACGTTTGGCATCTCGTGCAGATTCGAGGCATTCACGTCAGTATGGCTGTCTGCAGCCACGTACGAGACTTTACTTTCTGTCTTTGTTTTGCCAACAGGTATGATTGACCTTTCAATTCAGATGAATTAACATCCGTTCATTGGCCAATGATTGGCAGCTTTTCTCCCTCGTCACCCGCACAAAGAAAAAAAATAATCCGAATCTTTATAATATCATGGAGAATAATGCGTAGATTGGTTATTAACTAGATGCAATATTTGAAACAATTTAAAACCTTTAGAAAAGGTAAAAATTCAACTCTAGAATAAAGAGGAATCTATAATATTTTTTTTAGTTGTAGTGACAGGTAAATATTTTTGTGAGGTGCATAAACATCCAAATAAAAATGTATTTGTTACAAAGTTTGGTCTGATTATGACGACTGAATATTTCATTTTATTCTAGTTGTTTGAATCCTCTTCTCTACACGTTTCTCGGACACAATTTCCAGGAGAGATTGCGGAAAAGTATAGCAATGTCGCTACGTTCCTTCACTTTTACTACATTCACACGATATACATCGCATACTTTGAGGTATAATTTTTTTCATATAGTTGCTTTTGAAAGTCTATTCATTTAACAAGAAGATAATTTGGTTAACTTAACAAAAAAGGTATCAAGCGACCTGTTTTAAAGAAACAATCAAATGTATTAGTTTTCCCTGTAATGTATATATTTCCTTCTTATATCGTATTGTAGTATGTCCAAAATTTGTGATAATAACAGAAATTAATTTCATTGCTACAGTCGTGCAGACACTGGAGGTTTCAGTAAGAAAATGGAAGCAACAAATCACTCCGAACCTCCGTTGGAAACGACCAATCGAATAAACATCAATCAACTTACTCAGGTATGTTAAATAATATGATTCCTTTTTTAAAGAAATCAGCCAGAAATGAGGGTTTCTACCACTGTGAAATACATGATAAATCAATATTGATATAATAAAGTTTTGAATGTTTTAGACAAATTTTAGAATGTTTAAAAAAATCCAGTTTACCCAACGGTTTTGAATACTTATGTAATCAGAGAAAATACCATGAACAATGAAGCATATTAATAATGATTGTACCGTGAAAACACCTTTGGCGTGTACTTGCATGACTATCTTTGACGGTGGGGCGAAGTAGTATCAAATTCCGCACGGTATAGTTTGCAAAAAGGAATCGATTTTATATCGAAGCATACGCGTTATAGGAAAATAAAAACAACATGCAAAATTCGAGTATGATCGAACAAAATTTCAGCGATACGGAAATACATAGAAACAATTGCCTCGCAAAACCCGCAAAATATGCTCCGGTGGTCGCATATTGACAAAAACATTCGTGTCACGTAACCCGATGGGTCATTTTATTGTATTCGCGATTCATTCGTTGTACTGTCGAATCGCATGCTCCAAAAACACTTTTGATATTTGTTTAGCATTGTACTTATATTAACTTGAGTTGTGATTGTATAATCACTGACATTGAGATTTTAATCTGACAATGAGTAAGCATAATATTGAACAGAAATATTGAAGAAAATGTAAATTTATATAATTCGACATAAAATATTTTCTCGTTGGAATAGTGCAAGTACTTTTAAACTCAGGAAGTAACAACTCTTGATAGGCTGTGGAACTTTTCTGACAAAAACACCAATAGGAAATGGGTCATTCCATTCCAGTAATCGATCATTCATATCCAAAAGCGTTCACCAAAACAATGAAAAGTTTTGCATAAAACAAAATTGGGACGATTGCTCTTTCAAATATAGGTATACAATATTAAAACCAACACTGGTAATTTATAAAACTTTGCTTAATTCGTTGAATAATGAATCGTGAATGTAAATTTTGATTTTTCAAATGTATATCGAAAATATACGACAATAATTGGTTAGGCTTGTGGTGACGGGAGAAACTAAATTTAATTGAGAAATCAGCGACTTTATTTATTCGAAACAAAAACTTCTTTTCATTATAACACACGTTTCAGTATTTGATCAATTCACCTTGAAAAGCGAGCAGTCAATTTTCAGCAGTACAATTTTGACAAATGCTTTGTCTAATTTTGCATCTTCCCAGAGAACTTCCCAAAGGGCGCCCTTAGGTCGGTATAGTGTATTATGTAAAAACATTTGAGCTAAAATTGGATGAATGATTTCCGTGATATTCATCGCAACTACAGGAAAAATGAAATTGGCAAAGTTTTTGATTTACAATAAACAATGGATTTTTGTACAATTTAAAATATTGTAGTGTTTAGGACTTCAAGAAAAATAAGGGTGGGAGAGGGGTCATTGAATTGATAATTTATAAAATGCGATGTCGAAATAAAATATATATACTTGACATCAGAACACAAATGCGACGTTTCACTACCCGTTGTAAGCACGTGTGCCCAATGAATATAATGAATCATATACCTCTGCAGTACGCTAGTGAATGACGGGTATGAATATAATAACGATGATAACTCAGGTTCTTTTACAAAAAATGCTTTATTTCTTTTTCTCAATGTTCCACTCTTGATCATACCTTTTAGCTTAACGCCAACAATTGCGTTTCTTATTTTTAAGAAATAACACTATTTCAACGATGCCGTTAATTTTCATTATCTCCATTCAAAATTATACAGAATATGTATATATATATATGTATATATACCTATCTTACCGAATGTGTTTATAAATACCGTATATGTTTTGAAACAATGCGACGCACAATGCATTTTTTCAAATTTATTTGAATAATGCCAATTTTTTTTTGTATGTGTATATATATTTACAATAGCACCAACACATATCGTCACGCTAATAACCGAATTGCGTAAGTCATTTTTGGCGATTTTGAGTTTTTTATAAAATAGGTATTTATGTAATGCTGCGCACCTGTCTGTTAACTCAGATTTTATTTTAGGAATTCTGAAACCCATAAAAATGGAGATTTAGTATGACATGCACATTTGTGCAATTGTTTCGTCATAATGAATTATCCTTGTTACCGCAGTACTATTGTGACGTCACAAAGGCAAAATAACCTCGGCGAAGTATTTTCGAGTTTTTGCATCTCGGATTCTAGCTTAGCGTGTATTAATTTGAATTTTTACTACAGTATAGGAAGACGTACACTTGTGATATTCACTGTCCGAGTCAAATTTACCTTGGTTGGCTTTTATATTGGGTGCATTGCTGTTTTATTCTTTATATTTAATCTTAGTCCTATTTCGGTGGGTGTGCAGAACGTGTTATATTGATGAAATATATATTTTTAAACATAAAAAATGATTTAATCGAAACTGATTAGCTATTTTGGAGATTAGACATTGTAGATACTGAGAATTACATTCGTTTTTGGAATGTTTAGTTTTCAGGACTGGTGCATATAGTGAAGTTGCAAATTGCGTATGTCCCCAAGTCATAGCCACATTTCTGCCTAAGTCACAGTGCGCCATTATGACGTCACTTAACTACGTCATACAAGTTAACTTAAATCCGGCTACGATTAAAAAATTGAACCATGGCAAATTATTGACTCTCAATTGCATAACAAAATTATTAGGAAGTTTTTTACGTTTTTCTCAAAACTGCCAAAAATGACTTACGCAATTCGGTTATTAGCGTGACGATATGTTGATCGAGGTGAATGTAAAAGTCGTGATATCTCATATTTTGGGAAACTTTACATCTTATTCTAAATGAAATGTTAATGGATTTATTTCAAACTTTTCAGGTGCCCGAAGAAGAGCCTTGTCTTGCCAACGGATGCGATACAAACGGTAACTTACAATGCAAAGTTTAATTGCCGGAAAGATTTGACTATAACAATACACAGTTGTCACTGAGATTGGCGCCTTCGTTGTTCCGTCCGCGATACCACAGCCTGATGCCGCGCCCGCAGTCATGCAGTGATGATGACTCATATCCGAGAGCAATTGACGACACAACAACAAGAGGGGTCCATGATATTTTTGTGCATGCAAAAAACAATCCGGGTTATACCAGAAAGTCGCAAGCATACGCTTGACAAAAAATTTGGTATTGGGAATTTCGACTGTGTCAGCTATAGATTTAAGAGCAGACAACAAAGTCATTTGAAGGACAGTTCAATTGATTCTCAATTTCCATTTCTAACTGATACTACATTCCCATGAGTTGTAAATGAATATTTTCGCGGTAACGAACATTAAACATTTAAACAGGCAGCCACTCCAACGTATGAACCCAATGGGTTTAGGTCGTGATGTTATCGACTTGGAATCACCGGCTTACTTTTAGTTTTGAAGCATCGACAATCTTTTTCCATTCCATGTTTCATTTTTTAATGCATATTATTTTTATCTTTTAAATATATGATCGATGTATATTCGATCGTGCATGTGCCATGTACATCTGTCTTGATGAAAAAACTGTTTCAAACATTTTTTCTTGTCTTATGCGATCGCATAACTGTATAACTTTTTGTGAACCTATGAATTGCTTATTATAACAATATAATCGGAAATACTATTGTTAGAACTTAAACGGTAGTATGATATCCCGTCTGAAAATATTCTGTTGGCCAGTAGTTCAGTGTAGTAGCACAATATATAAAGGGAGCAAACATCATCCTTACCGGCGCTGTTTTGACACGATGGTGAGGTGGCGTGGTGGCACGAAAGTGCGTATACACAGTCAAGAGTCATAAATCGCAGCACGCATTGAGTAAGCCTTAGATTAGGAGTTCACAAACTGGGTGTCCTTCACAAACTGGGTGTCCTTCACAAACTGATGACCTCACAGGGGGTCCCCAGCGAGATTAAAAAAGTCTTATCGGTCTTTAAAGATTGATTTTAATCCAAAAACCATTGCATTTTTTTGATTGAGCGTTGCGTCCATCGGTCTTTAATGATTGATTTTAAGCAAAAAGTCATTGCGTCTTTTTTGGTTGAGCGTTACGAACAAATATTCATTTCTGTCAGAAAAGTAATTAAAATTAATTGCCTTTTGCAATGACCCGCAAGTATGTGGCGGCATTTTCAACTCTTACCAATATGATGACAAAATATAAGTCTAGACCTGCCGTAGATTCGAATCTACGAGTTTGCTTGTCACAAATTGCTCCGAGAATCGATAAATTGTGCAGTGAAAAGCAAACTAATTCATCACATTAATGTCGTGTGTACTGCTGTGTTGTAAATGAAACATTAATTTTTCTCGTTGGTTTTGCACATAAATTTATACGGCATAGGATGGGGGTCCGTGAAAACTAAGATTCACAAATAGGGGGCCGCGGCCCAAAAAATTTGGATAACTCTGCCATAAGTGATAGCTAATAATAATACATTCTAGAGCGCGAACAAAATTCTAGCTTACCCTGAAAACTTGTGGGCAAAATCGGACGGAACTTGGCTAACCCAGAAAATCCATTGCGATCGGGCAAAACAAACTTTTTTTTTGTGATTTGGAGGCGGGTACCTGTCGAGCCATCAATCTAGTCACACTCGAATGCTTTTGGGGTTCAGGAGCGCTGAGTTATACATTATATATGTAGCCTACTGCCATACTGTATAGCGCACACTATAGCCTACAGTATATACTTCCAGTTCAAGATTTAGAAGTGTTTGGCGTCGTTTCCGTGATGGAAAAGCGTTTGTCCGATCGCTGGGAACGTTTTCGAGTAGTTTTGACGGTGCGGAGGCCGTGATATTGAATTGCAATAGTTAGCCAGTGGTTCCCAACCGCTGTGCCGCGGCACATTAGTGTTACGCGAAATGATTTTGGTGTGCCGCGAAGCGATTTCATTTTTAAATAGATTTTAAGTGATTTCAAGTTCCAATCCCTTGAATTCCGCGAGAATTACCTCACGGCTTTTCCCAACAAACAGAAACGAAAAAAAATTGAGGAGTCGTATTTGGGTATTGTTTCAATTCCAAGTTTTGCATAAAGCGCGCCAACACCGTTTTGTAAAATTGAAAATGTCAAACAAGGTAACAAATTATTGTGCGAAATTTTACTAAGGAGGTAATATTTGACTAGTAAAGATTTGTCATTATTGTCGATTTATTGAATCCTTATTTCTCAAACTCAAAATAACATTCTGGATTCACGCAATGACTTTGCCGAGTTTTTATTCACTATTGAATACAAAAATAAAACAGGCACAATAGAAAAGTAAAATCATAAAGTCAACCATCGTCTTCATAGATATTCGCATTAAAAAATGGTAATATAGTTTGCTTAAAATTGAGACAGATATAAACAAACAGTGAGGAGAAAGATGAGAGCCGGCGCAAAAGATCGAAATCTGAATAAAATCCCGAATTCACTCCTTATTAGCTGTCTTTAACACATGTCGCTGATATAAACGCATAGTTCTCACATAAATATAAAGCCAAACTTCGACGTTCGCCGTTGTGAATTAATTGTTCCTTGTAAAAAAAGAGGACTGGCGGAAATAGCTTACCAACATCCGAATGTCTAGCGTTCAGTATGCCTGTTGTATATATACTAAAAATTCCCGATATTTGACAATTCGTTAAAAATATTCGAATGATTCGATTCGATAAAAATATTCTGCCTTATGCCCTTGCGATCTGTAATAACGCCAGTAATCTGGCGAAACGCGTGGTAGTTCAAACACTGATGCAAACAACTTAATAAAACCTTCATTTGTAAATTGCAGTTCAAGAAAGCGTGGTAGAATTGGTCGTTGATTATTTCATATCTCGAACACAAAAACGGTTACTTTTTTTTAATAGTTTCTGCGGTCTGAAAATTCGAATAGGCGATTCTACATAGTAAATACCCTGATCATTGCCATCAATATATGCTCGAGCCTTGCACAAAATTCATAACGCGAAAAGATACGTCCAGCGGTTTATACCAACTTTGAACCAAAACCAGTGTTTTTAGCGATATATAATAACTAATTGTTGTAATGAAATACAGTTTATTTGCCTTTTTTTATTTCTCCCGCAAGTGCCGACGACAATAACACTATTGAATGATATTGGCTATGAGAGAAACATATCAAATTGTAACAAAAAGGAATTAGGTTGTGCAAAAGTGAGAATACCTGTGATAATAATAAGGGCGTACGTAACGTGGATCGGGGAAGGGCGAGCAAAACCGAAGTGCGTGATCGGCGGTGCGCCATGAGACCACGTATTACCCGTGCGGCCGCACATATTTTACATAATTTACAATAACATGTGTAAATTTAGACTAAATTATTGGTAAATTCCTTTCGCCTACGAGTGCGTCTCTCTCAGGAAATTAGGGATATATCTCCCTCAGATTCGTCCGCAAATTGCAGTGAAGGAGCACCAAGCATAACAGTCCTACTGACATTCACCATTATTATTCTATACCTGTTACTAAGTACAGGGTATACAAGAAGAGAGAGAGAGATTTAATATTTTGCCAACCAGAATAAAAAATATTACATGAATAAAATTTCCCTTATCTGATCTTACTTATTTATATATTATTTTATAGCAAACTGGCTTTATGAGTAGAAATGTTCTTGTTTTATGATAGGTGTGCTGTGCCGCGAATATTTAAAGTGCTCAATAGTGTGACGCGATGTAAAAAAGTTTGGGAACCACTGAGTTAGACCAGGCATGTTCAACCTTTTTAGTGTCGCGGGCCACTTTCACACGGATAAATTCATTGCGGACCGCAATTGTTTTTACCAAAATTAAATACAAACCCATGTCCTAATTACGTTGGAATCTGAGCGTCGCTAAATCAAACGCCTAGATTTCATAACAATTTTGCGGATTTCTGAACACAAGATGCACACTAAGACCATGAACTATGAAATTCAACTCAACTTTTATGCAAAATGCACATACATTGGAGTAAAAAATGAAAAAAAAAATTTTTTTCTCTTCAACTAGCGCAAAATGTTTTTATATTGCTCCAATGTTTAATATCAACGGGTGGTTTTGATAACGCACAATGCAACTGGCTTGTCAAATATTCGTTGGCCAGCTTACTCCTATTCTTGGACTTTATAATTTTCAAATTATAAGACTTCAAGCTCGAAACAGATTTGCGACATATTAGGCATATAGCGTTGTCTTTCACTTGAATAAAGAAGTACAACTCTTCCCAATCCCTTTGATATTTTCGATTTTCATCCACAAGCTTCCTCTTTTTTTGTTCCAGACTTACCAGTGGATTTGTTTTTGATGAAACACAGTACCGGTATTTGACTTCAACTATTGATGAATTCACAATGGGTAGAAAACTCATTGTATCGCTACAGATGTTGAACGCTTGAGTAAAATCATAATTTGTGGCGCATAACAACGCTTTTCTTATGGCAGAGTCGCGTGAAATTATAGCCTAAATTCTAGTAAGATTTGATGTCATAACAGGAAATTTTTATGTTGAATATGTTTATATGTTCGTATTTGTATAAAAACTTCAAGTGGACCGCACGAATTCTTCCCGTGGGGCGCGGGTTGGACATGCCTGAGTTAGACAATACTTCCGAATTTTAAAGTTAACAAAGTCAATAAATGTTGTCGTTTTGCACGTTCCTTTGTACATGTAGTCCCATAAATCCAATTACCTAGACATTAGATATCGATTCAGCATGTCAGCATTTCTATATTTGCTAGATAGTCTTCTGTAAAGGGGGAAAAATTCAACAGTGTGTAAGAGATGGGCCTTGTGGGGGTTCTAACCACAGACCTATATCCTATAACGCGGTACCGAATTGGGTACAAAACTCAAACAATTATATAGCCGAACCTGAAAATATATTGTAGACAACTCTACATTACACCATTTCCTCGCAGTAACCGTCAGTCATTTATACATTATTAAAATAGTGAATAGTGAGCCGACTCTGATGACCACAATGCTCGTTTTTTTTTCTGGTTGACAAAATATTAAATCTTTCTCTCCCATGGACAAGCATGTAAATCCGACACTGCCACTGTTACACTCACGTTCAGTCGAGGGAGAAAGTGTGAGAATTTATTATTTCGTCAACCAGAACACATAATATAAAATAATATTATTACAAAATAATTGGAACAAAAGATTTCGGTATGACTGTGAGGTAACGATACGACCAATTACGGTCATCTGAGTCAGTTACCACCCAATACAACTCATGAATAAATACATAAATTGTCACAGGTTCTTTTTTTTTATTGAACTCTCGGTTTATGAAAAGCTATTTACACTATGTACAAAACGTACCACTTAATTAAAAATGTTATTATATCAAAAGTATATTATATCTTGGAGCCCCTATCATTGTCCATTAGGACAAATTGAAATGGACAACCCTTTCTATTAGAAGAAATTAACTTAGTAATCTTGAGACGATCGTAACAAAAAGTTGTAACCTACTTTAGAAACGCGAGTGCAATGTTTGAAGGTGTGACATTGACCTCTCAGAACCAGGACCTATATTCCATTAAGTACGCTAGTTTAGAATCCTCCCACAAAATCTCGTTTGCTGAAACGCTACCTCGCATCAATCTTGAGGGCAGGCTAATTATTTCAGACATGAACCCAACGGTTCCATTACATTTGAACCCATGGCAATTGCACCTGTATGCTATTGCACCTATGGAATTTTTTTTGTTTTTCGGATAGTTGAACCCACACTAACCCATGGGTTTTAGCACCTGCATATAGATTGAACCCGTGGATATACACATGGGTTCAAATGTACGGTCACCGAACCCAACGTATATATCGAAGCCTTAAAAATTGTCCCGAGTTCCTTTGCGTGTAATAGATGTAAAACCACATACTATGCCAAACATGGGCGCATTTTATAAAGGACCGCTACCCGAAAGTTTTTTTTTCGCGCCAGCTCTTGTATGTATGTATGTTTATTCGTCTCGTAAACGCAATATAAAAGAATTAGTAATTATAAATATTGAAGACGGGGTGTATGCGTCAAATACTTCTTTATTTTTTTCTCTCGAAGTCCCAAAGGACCCAAAACAATTATCTTTATTATAAATTTTTTAATTTCCTTTTTATATGCTTGCATCCAGCAGGCCAAACCAACAATGAATAACGGCAAACAAGTATTTCACAGATTTTGTTCAAATATTTTCATGAAAGATCAATGATGAAAAAATGTATCATGAACTAACTAGTACATAGAGTTGTGTGAAAAACAAAGAAATTTTATTGCATAGTTGACAGAAATTTCCAAGGAATTCCAGAATATTTCTTGATATCACGCTTACAACTTAATTATTCTCCTTGTTCGTTATTCTCGACCTTTTACAAGTTGCTTAGCAGTTTTAATTATTTTGAGATACATTTTTTCAATTCACTATTTTTGGACCTATTGTATTATCCATAATCGAATCACACAATACACATTTAGATTTTGAAGATATTGCAGTTGATGCACAGTAATAGCAGAATACATGACCACATGCAGTTTCATAAGGCTGTGTAGGCCAATCTTCACAAATTCCACACACTTGCAAGTCTGGTTGGGTAGCTGAAAATGGTTAACATAAAATTAGTGTTTATTAGTTAAAATACAGTACTGATATAAGACACAAATGTCAGCTCAAAATCCACTTAGCATTATTCATTAGATATTCTGAACATAATGCAGCAAACCTGTATTCCAAATACTAATCTTGTAAAATTTGACTACAAAGTAAATAATTTTTGCACTGGAAAATAGAATAAACATAGCAAAAATCAACAATGTTTGATAACATTACTACAAATTTCAATCACTAAAATCATAATTACCAAGATTTCCTTCTTCATACAATGGTTGAAAATATCTTCTGAAAAATTTTTTCAATCTTGGAATATCGAACAGTGTCAAAAAATACATGGAAGTTTCTGCAAAACCTCTCCACAAAATATCACGACTTAATATGGTGTATGAAATTGAACTTGGAACTGGATTTGGATGATCAAATACTATTCTTAGACCTGCAGGAAAAAAAATGAATCAAAAATATAATTATATCAAAAAATTAGAAAATTAAGATACGAATCCTAATGCGCTATTCTGAAGCATTCCGCTAACAAAACAGTCGTACTTTCTACATTAGTAAGCCAGATGTACATTTATTTAAAATCTCACCAAGAATTCTTAAGAGAAGTCTGTTGTATTCTCCAGTACGGAGAAATCTCAAAATGTTAATAATATCCAATACTTTCATACAACTGATCAATATATCCAATAATTTGGAGATTCTGGGATATTTTGATATCATCGTAGGATGATTATCTCTGTATCTTGTTTTCCACCAATATAAAAAAATTTCAAGTATAATCAAACTCGAAATTTTTTTGTTAGGAGCAACACTGAGATCACAAGAATTTGCCATCCTGAAATTGAATAAAATCTTCAATAACAACTTTGCTTTAAAATATTTCTATGGCAGTTGAAGATGTAATATTATTAGTTTAATGAATAACAATAATCAAAGATATCATTAAATTGCCAAATCAAGATTTTAATGAAAATGAGTCAATACTTTTGAGAATTAAAATGTTCTTGACTTACATGACACCAAAAAGTTTCTGTCCAACTGTTTGATGAAACCTGCCAACTGTAGAACACATCAACAAACTATATAGAGCAGTTTGTAACTCTGGCTTAATTTTGGAAAGTTTTTCCGGAAAAAGAAACTTTATGCATTTGTCCAATTGCTGCCGCATAAGGAGATCAATTAAATACTCATCCAGATCTTGAGCATCAAGTTGTGTGACTCTCATGCAGGGTATAGAAGGTTGCTTTGGTTGTTCTGCTGTCATGTTGTCAAAACACTTAGTCATATAAAACTGAAAGAATTTGAGCAATGAATACCGTGCTACCGTACAGAGATATTGAGAGTCTGAAATATATACATTTAACGAATATCACCTGTTACTCAGACATTCATAAAAGAGATAAAGTCGTAAGTTAACTAACGCAATCGCAAATGGTAGAGATAGAGACCCTAACAATGGGAGTGAAAAAGTTGTTTGTAAATGTAAACGATCGTTGCTTAGAGCGTCTGTGAGATAGATCTCTGTCACAGAGCTACGTCGTCGGTTATAATTGATTGTATGCGTTACGGTATTGAGTTATCACCAGTCAAGAACTTGTGCGACTTTAGCATGGTCATCTGAGCCCCGTTGATGCAAGAAAGAGGCGTGAACCCCAGTTAAGTTAATTGTGAGAGACTATCCAAGAATACACAATTAAATTAGTACGGTAACTGTCGTAGAGTTTGGCCTACGAGTTTGCTTGTCAGAAATTGATCTTGCCCGAAATGGCATCTGCGCCGCCGACCATAAAAAACGGGTCTGGTATAGTTTGGTACCACATGTACTTCTAGTTGACCTGGCTCAACAATTTTTGCATATGTCAATCCTAACCCCCACCTGACTACGTCACCGAAAAATTACGTTATTTCGACGTCACAGTGGCGTAATAAGGCCCACCGAAGTATGCGGATGCTCGTCCAAAAGGCACAGACGATCACCCGAAATCGAGAAAGCAATTTCTCTCGTCGCGGCGCAGATGTCATTTCGGGCGATTGTAATTATACTTTGGCAATCCCTATGACGTGATGGTGACGTCGTAACTCGTAGTGACGTAATTTTTGGATGGCATAGTCAGGTGGGGTTAGGAATAGCATATGCAAAACTCGTTTGTGGTACTAAACTATACTAGACCCTAAAAAACTTGCTAACGTTAGCGATCTTTCTCATATCGGGATCGTCACGACGAGAAAAGGAGAGAAATAGCTTGCTCGACTTCGGTTAATCGCCTGCGCATTTTAGACGACCATCCGTACCGTATATTTTGGCGTGTCTTATCACGACACTTTTACGTCGTACCGTAGTGAGGCTATTTCTGAATGGCGCAGTCAGAGAGGAATTAGGAACGACATATGCAAAAATTGTTGCGCCAGGTCAACTAGAAGTACATGTGGTACCAAACTATACCAGAAGTTGATGAAATTTCTTCCGACGAATAATGAGGTGGTTGAAGTCACTAAAAAGCTGAACAGTAAAAGGAAGAAGTTGATGAAATTTCTTCCGACGAATAATGAGGTGGTTGAAGTCACTAAAAAGCTGAACACTAAAAAGAAGAAGTGAATGAAATTTTTTCCGACGAATAATAAGGTGATTGACGTCACTAAAAAGCTGAACACTAAAAGGAAGAAGTGGATAAAATTTTTTCCGACGAATAATAAGGTGATTGACGTCACTAAAAAGCTGAACACTAAAAGGAAGAAGTGGATAAAATTTCTTCCGACGAATAATGAGGTGGTTGAAGCCACTAAAAAGCTGAACACTAAAAAGAAGAAGTGAATGAAGTTTCTTCCGACGAATAATGAGGTGGTTGAAGTCACTAAAAAGCTGAACACTAAAAGGAAGAAGTGGACGAAATTTCTTCCGACGAATAATGAGGTGGTTGAAGTCACTAAAAAGATGAACAGTAAAAGAAAGAAGTGAATGAAATTTCTTCCGGCGAATAATAAGGTGGTTAAAGTCACTAAAAAGATGAACACTAAAAGGAAGAAGTAGATGAAATTTCTTCCGACGGATAGTGAGGAAAACTTGAAAATTTAATATTTTAGGAATTGGGTAATTTAATGTTTGTTCTGTTCGTATTTATAAGACAATGTCCTCGTGAATTCGTTTTTTGTTAATTTTTTATATGTTATGCTCAGTTCGAGCCTGGCGAATTGAAGGCCATGACATTCTCGTTATATTCTTTTTAATTTTGATGTAATGTGCAAGCAAATTAATATATATATATTTTCATATCTAGCTGTTCTAGATCAACAAACCTTGTAATTTATAATATGTTTGTGGCCCAACTCAAAATGCCTCTGAGGCTTACCAGTGGCCCATGGCCCATTGGTTGAGAACCAGTGGTCTAACAGGACTTCGATTTGACTAATACATCATTATTCAAAGTCTTCGTGCGTGAACTGCTTGCAAAATTTATAAAAACAGATATTAAGTTCAAGGAATGAAATACGGAATCAAAAATAAATTATATTCGGGCACAATATCACGGCAATCTATGTACATAGATGTGTGGTCAACTGCGCGATTATTATTAATTTTTGATTCCTATTTTCGTATTTACAAAATACAACGGCGATCCATGGACTTAAAATGTGTGGTAAACTGCCCGATTATAATTAATTCTTGATACATATTTTCGTATTTATAAAATAATAAAAGATATATATGCGGACATTGAAGTGCCCGAATATAAAAAAAATCCATTCGTATTTACGTACTCACGAAAAAATTGTCGCAAGTCAGAAATATAATTTATACTTTATCCCGCTTTTTGCAAATAATTTGGATAATGATTGGTATTTAAAAGTATGGACTTTTACTAGGATGATTTTGTGTTGCGCAAAATGTTCAAATCTATGACCGATAGCACTATTTTAAATGCTTGTCGTATTAATTTAAATCTGATAACGTAACTCATGGTATATAAAAATATATCGCAGTAATCTGCAAATATGAAATGCATGGTAATATAGTCATGTTGTAGATAACAGTTATTCCATTGTTTATTGTATGCAAATTCCTTCATATACTATAGATCAGTAGTCGGCAACCACCGGGCCGCGGCCCATCGCCGGTCCGCGGAAAGGTCACTACTGGTCCGCAGAAAGGTGACATGAAAACGTACAATGCCATTGTTATCTTCATGTGAGGTTGGGTTTTTAAAATGGCAATTACAAAAACGAAAGATCGAAGTGGGTTTAACGTAAGAAATACGTTACGTGAATAGTATCACCTTCGTTTTTGAATGTATTGTCAACATACATTTTCTAACGCATATTATTTATTAGATTAGTTCGTTTGTATAAAGGTGGTCCGCCAAAATTTTGGTCAGGCTTTACCGGTCCGTTACTTAAAAAAGGTTGCCGGCCACTGCTATAGATCATTGATTTTCAACCGGCGAGAGACCTCCGGGTGTTCCGCGGAAAATTGCTTTTTTTGCAGTATTATGACGTCATAACTGATATTTAACCGTCCGATGGATTTATATAAATTTCACAAAGCGCGGTTCACAACCGCTTCCAATCTTGCTATCATTTTCTACTACCTATCTTTGCGAAATGAGTTTTTTAAGCATGGCCGGTCTAGGGCTGTGCAAAATATTCGAATAGCGAATACAATATTAAAATATTCGAATGCCATTTTACTATTCGTATGTACAATACCACATAATCTGTACCGCTTTGCTTGGGCACGGAATTCACGCCGGTAAATCGATCGCTTGGATTACGCGAGAATTCACCCTCGGCCTCCACTGTTATTTTGCAAAAAGCGTGCCGACACTAGTCCGTAAATGTAGAAACGTCAACCCAAATAAGATATCTAAAATAAAGTTACCAGCCTCCGCATGCATGACCCGAATAGAAAATCATTTTCGGAAATTAAGAGTTACAAAGACGTTTTCGATACATGGTGAAAACGGCAATTTTAGGTCGTCAGAAAATTTGAGTTATATAATTGGTACTCCTGTAATATGCGAACCAAGACGTTGGACACCAGAACGTAGTATGTGTACCAGGTTAGGCTAAAATTTTGTTCAAATTTTCCTCATTTTAGTTCTATTACGAGTTCGGGGACTAGCCAGGTGACTCCTATAGTATTCGTACCTGAAGTTATGGCCTGACCCTAACTTGGTACACATACTACGTTCGTGTGTCCGCCATCTTGGTTCACATACCACGGGAGTACCATATAAATAGCATAGATTTGAAAATGGCGAGTCAGAGTTTTGAAAAGCCGGTATAAAAACTTATAACCAGATAAGAAATGACAGGCCATACTTTCTTTTAATGGACTTTCTAATAGCTCGGCGTGTATTTTTAGTGATCCATTTCATCCTTGACCAAATAATGTTTCAAAAATGTGAACATTATACTCGACCATGGATGGAGTCATCGTCGGAATTGACTACATTTGTTGCATTTTGAAGCTTTTCTTGCAGTATTAATTAGGGCGTGACATCATCAAAATCGTCAAGTGGAGTGTTGAATTGCGTAATTAAAATTGAATCCCGTAAATAAAATTATGAATTTCCCGGTAACGTTATTAGCTATGATATTGGTCGGGGTATTGATTTGTTGTAAAATAAATGGTGACTTGAGGTGATTAATTATAATTAGAGTCTTCCCTTCTACTAGGTACGAAAAGCACTTGGGCACAAAATTGTTTACAATTTTTTGGTATCAGGTCGCGTATGTAAAATATCGTTCAAGAGTGCTGCCAAACGACAACGTAGAAATGCCTTTATTTCAGATTTTAAATCAACATTCTTTATTCACGCAATCACAGCTTCACAGATTTATCTAATCACAGTATCAAATTGATTTATTTCGAAAATAACACTGAGCCTAAGAAAGTCAATTGTCGTCTTAATAATAAATGTGTGCATCCCGTTGACGATAATTATAATATTATTTGCTTAAAACTGGGACGTTTAATTTGCAAACGGCGATAAGTTAGATCAGAGTCGGCGCAAAAGATAAATATCAGAATACAATTAATTTGGCTTTGAAATCACTCCTTAATGTCATTGAAATCTGTCGCTGATGTGAACTCATAGTTATATCAATAATATGAAATCTCGATCTCCGCAGACCCACGGGAATTAATAGTTGCGCAAAAGAACAAATGGCGGGAATTTAAAAACGTTCAGGGGGACAAAATATCAGCGCATATGACGAAATTAACCAGTAAAAATCGCTTTGTTGCCGATTTTCAATGTTTCTATTAATTTCCAAATCTACCTCCGACGTTCTGGACCCTGCTGCGTATAAAAAATATTCGGTATTGGACTATATGGTATTTGTTAAGAATATTCGAATTATTTGATTCGAAAAAAATATTCGATTTTGCCCACCCTTTTCTTGGCCGCCATAAGAGTATAAAAACACGAAAAATTGAGAGTCGTCGAGCAAGAGCTGCGTGTTTGTCTCTCTCAATTAAATTCCAGCCAGAATAAAAAATTGAAACTCATCGAAACAGGCCCAGATATTACATTAAAATACCATTTCTGTTCCTAGCTCATCGGTAGCTCTGAATCGGAATATGTGTAACGTCTTTTCCAGCTGAAGTTGACAAGCTAATATTAATCTCGTTAATTTATTTTTTTCCGAAATGATCGATGTCAGTTAATTGCATAATATAGTTTATTTCCAAAAATCTCATTTGGAGTTCCGTCACAATTTTAGAATAAAAAAAGTGTTCCGCGATACAAAAAAGGTTGAAAATCACTGGTGTACGAGGTTAGGGATCAGGTTGTGCGACATCTTGGTGCGCATAC